GAATCAACACAATCCCTTTCAAAATATCAGCTGATGTTGAAGAAATAGACAAGCTGATCCTAAAACTCAAATGGAAACTCAGGGAAGCAGAATAGCCAAAACAATCTTGCAAAACAAGAACAAGGTTGAAGGACTTAACAGTTCCTGATTTCAAGACTTATTACAAGCAACAGTAATCAAGACAGTGTGACACTGCCATAAAGATAGACATATAGATTAATGAAATGGAATTGATAAACCCTCACATTTGTAGTCAATTGATTTTTTAAAAATATTTTATTGTGTTTCAGGTGAAAAGTAACACAGCAAATTAAGTTCCTAACTAACAATTTTTATACAAATTGTTCCATAACATTGGTTACAATTTTACAATGTGTCACATTCTCATTATTTCCATTCTGTTTGTTCTGCTTCCATTGATCTACCTTTCCAGCCCCTCCTTGACTTCTCATCTTTGCTTTTGGGTAAATGTTGACTGTTTGGTCTTATATACTTGATTGTTTAAGGGCAAACCTTACTCACAGGTGATATTGTTTATTTTATAAGGTTTTTGACAAGTGTGTCAAGACAATTCAATGGGGAAATAATTGTCTTTTCAACAAATGGTGCTAGGACAACTGGATATCAACATGCAAAATAATGAAGTTGGACTTCTTCACACCCTATACAAAAATAGACTCTAAAATAGGTCAAAGACTTAAATGTAAGTGATAAAACTCTTAGAAGAAAATATAGAAGTACATATTTATGACTTTGGGGTAAGCAAAGCCTTCTTATGACACCAAACTGATACCAAAAGCACAAGCAACAAAAGGAAAAATAGAGAAATTGGATTTCATCAAAATTAAACTCTTTTGTGCTTCAAAGGAAACCATGAAGAAAATGAAAAAATAACCAACAGAATGGGAGAAAACATTTGAAAATCATATATATATATTAAGGAACTTCTATCTAGAATATAAAGAACTCTTACAACTCAATAATAAAAAGACAAGTAACTCAATTAAAACTAGACATTTCTTCAAAGAAGATACCTAAATGGTCAATAAGTGCATGTGAAGATATTAAACATCATTAGCCATCTAGGAAATGCAAATTAAAACTGCAGTGAGATATTACTTCACAGTCACTAGAATGAAAATAATCAAGAAGACAATATAAGTGTTGGCAAGAATGTAGAAAAATTGGAACACTAATACAGTTCTGGAAACTATAAAATGGTGCAGCCACTTTAGAAAACACCATGGTAGTTGGAAGTTCATCAAAAGGTTAAACATGGCGTTACCATGCAACACAGCAATTCCACTTTTATGTATATACCCAAGAGAAATGAAAACACAGAAACTTCAACACAAATGTTCATAGCAGTAGTCTTCATAAAAACAATACAAATGTCCATCAAATGATGAATGGTTAAACAAAATGTGGTATACCCATACAATGGAATATTATTTGCTACAACATGGATGAATCTTGAAACATTATACTAAGCAAAAGAAACCAGTTACACAAGACCACATATTTTATGACTCCGTTTATATAACCATGCAGAATATGCAAATCGGTTACTATTTACAACACATATTTTGGGGGTACATAATTCAATCCATAACACTATCACAGTCACAGAGTAGTCAGTTAACAGTTCTATGGTGAGAAGCCAAGTGTCCTGTCTCTTAGTCCTGGAATTGTCTTTCTGTAGTCCTCTCACCTTAGGAAGGTTGATCCAACCAATCCAACGTAGATTTAAAGCATTGCCTTCTTTCCAATGTCTTCTTTCCTAAGGCTTCCCCATTATATTAGTAACTTGGACATTAAATATTCCTATGTATCTGTGGTAGTTACATTTTTGTGTCATCTTGGCTGGGCCTGGTTGAGCGGCTGGGCAGCTGGTAGGATCTACCACAAGCAGCTGAGTAGCTGCCTTTGCGTATGTGTTCTGCTTCCCATATAAGAAGCAGCTTTGGGAATGGTCTCTAGCTTATGGCACCTTGAACCTGCATGTAGCCATGTCATTGTTTAGGAGCCTGCCATGCTCTGCCAACCTTGGGACTTGCAATGGACTTGGATTAATGGCCTGCTGTGTGATTTGGTAACATTGGGATTATGCCTTTTTACTTGTCAACCTTGGGCTTGGCAGTCTCAGCAGCCAGTAGCTGTCTGAGTGAAGAAAATCCTCTAGCTCCAGTGGGCCGGGAGCTGGAGGCAGAGCTGAAGCCCAAGGCTGAGGGGCTTTCACCCAGCCCCGAGAGCCTGGCACTTTGAACTTGGACTTAAATCCTCCAAATTGTAAGAGTAAACTCCTGTTTGTTAAGGCCATCCCATTTGTGGTATATTTCTGTCAGAATGGCACTAGGTAACCAGAACAATATCTCATTATAGAAATCCTGATTTTCTGGAAGGTCTTTGAGAAGTTCTGAAGGAAGTTTGGGCAATCAACTTCCACAGTAATACCACCTCAGAAACCCAAGGAGGGGTCTCTATGAGTCAGGTCCAACCCCAGTACACATAACAACAACAACAACAACAATACTATGAGATCCACAGGATTTTAGCTCCTCTCAGCTTACCCATTATAGACCATCATGTTTGCTTGTTCATCACCATTTGAGTGACAAGTGTTGCATGCTGGAGTGTCTCACACTGCTATCCATGCTGCTGACACACTGAAGCAAGCCAAGGTTGTTGGTGGTAGTATGTGTTATCAAGTTGATTCCTACTCATAGCAACCCTAGAGGACAGAGTAAAACTGTCCTATATGGTTATATTCTTCACTAGAGCAGATCGCCAGGTTTTTTCTCCTGTGGAGCCACTGGATGGGTTTGAACCACTGACCATTTAATGAGCAGCCCAGCTCTTATCCATTGCAATTCCAGGGCTCCCTAGTGGTTCCCATTACTCTGGTCACTAAGGAAATTTCCACTCATCTTCACTTAATACAGAAAATAAGGACAGTGCACTGAATTTTTCCATAAAGTTAAATTATTAAATGTAAATGCTGTATTTTATCTTGCATTTATGCCCTTCCTACCCTGGGGACAAGGAGCTGTGGTGGTGCAGTGGGTAAGGCATTTGGCTGTTAACCAGAAGGTCAGTGGTTCAAACCCACCAGCTGCTCTGCATGAGGAAGATGAGGCAATCTACTTCCATGAAGATTTTCAGCCTTGGAAACCCAATGGGGGTCGCTATGAGTCAGATTCAACTTGGTGGCAGTGAGTGTACCCTGGGGATATTAAAATAGCATTTATTTTTATAAAATAATGGGAATAGATGACAGCTCAAAACCCTTTGAGGCCCTCATTTCATTCAATAAATATTGAAAATTCTTTTTTTTCTACTTTTTTTTTTTTTTAACCCAAAAATCTGAGCACCAATTCCCTTGGGATGTCATTGTGTATTGGGAAGTTGGAGAAAGTATGAGTCCCTCTCTCTTGCCTCCTTTTATGGATCAAATTTTGTCCCCAACAAACATACTTGTTGGAATCCTAACTCCTATACCTAAGAGTATAATCCCATTTGTGAATATGGTTTTCTTTGCTTTAGTAATTAGTCCATATAAGTGTATGGTGTATCTTAAGCCTAATCATTTGGAGATATAAAAAGTACATGTTAGGCACAGAAGTAAGCAAACACAAGCTGAGGAAAGATAGCTGCCACGTGGAGATCACTAAGGAACTGAGAAATGCCAGGGCTAGGGAAGCAGAGACAAGGATTTTCCCTAGAGCAAACAGAAAGAGCCTTCCCTTAAAGTTGGTGGCCTGAATTTGGACTTCTAGCCTCCCAATGTGAAAAAATAAATTTCTATTCATTAAAGCCACCCATCTGTGGTATTTCTGTTACAACAGCACAAGAAACTGAGACACTCCTCATGCTCTATTTATGATCAGGCTTGCAATGCAGGTTAGTTGTTGAAGGAACCGAGTTCTGCACAGACTCATACAAAAACTAGAGAGACAAAAAGCCACGAATTCTGAGGCTGATAAGCCCCAGTTATTAGTGGACCTTGGAATTCACTCTAAACCCACCAATTTAAAAAAAAAAAAAAATGTGTGTGGCTATCTGTAGCAAACACCTTTCCCTAAGACTCTTAGTCCAGCTAGAGCAGTACTGCATTGTGTAGCCCCTAAAGTCAGACAGACATGGGCTCAAGCACCGGCTTGGCCACTATTAATATTGAGACCTTATGCAAGTTCCTGTCTCTGACCTCTCTGAGCCTCAGTTTCGTCAACAATAAAATAGAATTAATGATAGTAAGTATCGTGAAGATTAAATGAGAATGCATGCAAATGGCTTGGCATGTAGTGCCTGACATACAGTAAATGCTCAATAACTTTTTGCCATAATTATTTGTTGTTATTGTCCTCCGTAATGTAATACCTACAGTAGACTACTGGGCCCCTCCCCTCCCATACACTTTCCACAGTAATAAAATGGATAACGCTTGACTTTAGCCCAAATAGCTGGATTCTCTATGAATCTATCTCCCTGCCTTATATATTACTGAGAGTTGACTATACAACATACCCTTTTAAAGCCAACATGTGTTATACATCACAAAATTTGATTTTTTTACATTATCATCAACATTTACTATGCACTTACCCTTGGCCCAGACCTATACTAAGCACTTTGCGTGAGTTATCTCATTTAAACCTTACCACAACCCTAAGTTGTATCAGTATTCACATTTACAAGTAAGGAAACTAAGACCTGAGAGAAAAGCCATAAAAACACCACCATTCACTTTTGTCTGATGTCATAAAACAACGAAGGACAAATGAAAATGCAAACCTTATTCTGTCAGGTTCCAAAACCCTGGGTCCTCGGGCTGTACGTCTCACTTTTGCTCCTTACTTCTACAGAGAATTCACACTGGTATAAATTTAAACATTCACAATTTATGGATAGAGGTGTTAAGGCTGAGAGAGAAACTAAGACCACCCAAGTACCCATACTGGAGGTAAGAACTAAGGGCTCTTTCCTTCCCCACATTGCTACAGGTGCCAATCAATACAAGTATGGCAAAAACCGAGCTGAGGAGGATGCCCGGAGGTACCTGGTAGAAAAAGAGAAGCTAGAGAAAGAGAAAGAGACAATCCGGACAGAGTTGATGGCACTGCGACAGGAGAAGAGGGAGCTGAAGGAGGCCATTCGAAGCAACCCAGGTACCTATGTGGGTGTGGCTCAGCCTTGCCCCTGGCACAGTAAGGAGAAGTCTCTTGCATAGGTTACCCAGTTTCTTATCCAGGAAGGCTCCTCCTCCTCTTTCTCTTCTTCTTTCTCTTCCTCTTCTTCCCCCTCCTCCTCTTCATCATCATCATTCTTCTGATTAAAGAAAGTGCCATCAATTTAATAACTGCTTTGGGGCAAGAGAATGAAAAAGCCATCTTAATAATGTGCACATTTAACACAGTAATATGCAGCCTGATTTTAGAAATGTGGAAAACAGAAGTATGTCTTAGAATCAAGGAAACAAAAGATATTATTTTGAACTTCACATTTTTTCATTCACAGACGTTTATTGAACATTTGACTGTGTGTTAGACACTGGTCCAAGTGCTGGGGAATGATAGATGGTGATTGTCCCCTGTGTAACCCCACACTTTCGCATGATCCTCTTCTGAAATCCAAGGGCATGAGTAAGGAAGGGCTAGGGCTACACAGCCATTGTGCCACCGTGAGAAGAAAGAATGCAGCAGGCCCTGCGTACCCTGGGGTCCTGCACCTCATTCTCTGCTTTTTTCCTTTGTGTTCGCCCTATAACCATAGTTCACACACTTTGGGCCTGAGATTTCTCCACATGCTAGAGGGAACAAAAATCCTGTCCTTACAGAATGTACCCAAGATCACATAGCCCTATGGGAATCTGATGGAACCTATGGACCCTTTCTTGAGGGGGCAGGGGGGAATCTCAATTCACAGTGTTGCAAACAATTTCAAGATCTCCTGTGCCCCTGGAACCAATCCGTGGACTGGCTAAGAATCCCCAATCCTCAGATTGAGAACCTTAGATTTAAAGGAGAAAACTTGTTCTGTGTGGTCTAGAAAGAGAATTAATGGGGATAGGACACAGGAAAGCAGTTTGATTTCAACATAAAGAACCAGGGTATGGAGCAGGCTGACTATCCCCTTACTCTGCTCAGCTTCTTTTTTTTTTTTTTCTATAACACTTATCACTGTGGAACATATTATATTACCAGTTAATTATTTTTACTTATTTTCTTCCCCATACACACACTAGAATATAAGCTCCATGAGAACAGAAATCTTTGTTTCATTCACTGATGTATCACCAAGGGCCTAGAAGAGTACCTGACACATAGTAAATATTCAGTAAATATTTATTGAATAAATATGTGAATGAATGCATGAAAGTAACCCACCATCACTATAAAAAACCTTCTAGTACAGCCTCCCTCAGAAGAAGAAATGAAACTTACCCATTTTCTCGACCTGGTGAAACCCAACAGAGCACTTGGCACAAAGATGGTACTAACACAGGTTTTTTGGAATTAAACTGAGTAAGCAGCAAAGTCCTAGCAGGAATGCCTGGTCTATGAAAAGCCCCATGTTATGACTCTTGGTTACATGTAACATAAACCAATGTCAAACTGGCTTAGAAATGAAAAGAAGAAAAAAAATGTAACTGAAAAATGGAGAGATCAGGTAGCATGAGATCCAGGTACCTGGATGATGTCACCAGGAAGCTTATTTCTCAAACTCTTGCTTCACTTTCCTCTATGTTGGTTTCATTCTCTCTTCTCAAAGTGGTACAATGGCTACACAGCTCAGGCCCTTCCTTACTCTGTCTTCTCAGCCACCCCAGCAGAGGGAACTTCATTTCCCAGTGGCCCTCACAAAATCCTCAGGATTCACTCTGATTGGATCAACTTTGATCCCTAAACCAATCCCTGTGACTAGAAGGTGAAATACGATTATTGGCCAGGCCTAAGTTATGTGCCAACTTCTAGAACTAGGAGTGAGATCAGCCCCACCCCAACTAAAAGGAATGAGAAGGGAAAGCTGATTTCCCAATGGAAAAGCCAGTTGCTATTTCCAGAAGATGAGGAAATGGGTACTGGACAGGTAAAAGCTATACCACCCAGAATGGAGCTAAAAGCCCAGGCCCAAAGTCCATCTCTTAACTAGGTGTGAGGGGCTGGAAAGGCCCTCTAGAAGGGACAGACAAGGACCTGGAGTCTTGCCAACTCTTTGACGCTTCAGGTCTGACTCAGCTGATTTTTATCAATGTCTTTGTAAACAGGAGCAAAGTTAAAGGCTCTAGAGGAGGCCGTGGCCACCCTGGAAGCTCAATGTCGGGCAAAGGAGGAACGCAGGATTGACCTGGAGCTGAGGCTTGTGGCGGTGAAAGAGCGCTTACAGCAGTCCCTGGCTGGCGGCCCAGCCCTAGGGCTCTCTGTGACCAGCAAGAACAAGAGTGGGGTGAGGCCACTCTCATACACCTGCAGCAGCTGCTCCTTAATTCCTTCGTATACATCAGCACTCTGTCATGATCATTCTTTGTGGGGAGGAGTTATGCTCATTTAAAAATGAGAAAACAGACCCAAATAGGTGTGGGGAAATGCCACAGAGGGCATGGCTAGGAAGGAGACTCTAGCAGCAAGCTCTCTTGATTCTCTGGCCTATGTTCTCTCCACAGCAGCACCACTGTTGACATTTTATCCTGAAGGTGATCTTAGAAATGGCCTTAAAGTTACTGGTAATAATAATGGCTACCATATATTGCATAAAAAACTTGTATTAATTGATTACTCTTTGCCAGTACAGTATTTTAACCTGTGTTATCTCACACAGCCTTACACAGCAATCTTTTGAGGTAGTATACTGTGTATATGAACTCCATTAGACAGATGAGGAAACCGAGGTTCAGACTTGCTGTTGAATGACTTGCTAAGTGGCAGAGGATTCCAAACCCAAGCAGTCTGCCTCCAGAGACCTGCATTTAGCCACCGTGGAACATGCCTTCTCCTGAGATCCTCAAGGTCTCAGGCTCTGTGCTCATGGCTTTTCATCCATTACCTCTAACCCTCCCACCAACCCCACAAAGTATATACTCTCACCTTGAACGGAACTCCTCAGAGAGGACTTCTTTGACCCCAGCACTACTGACATTTTGGGTCAGATAGTTCTTTATTGTGAGGGGCTGTCAGGTGCATTAATGAGTCCTGGTGGTGCAGTGGTTAAGCACTTGGCTGCTAGCTGTGGTTCAAATCCAGCTGCTCCATGGGAAAAAGACGTGGCAGTTTGCCTCTGTAAAAATTAGTTTGGGAAACTCTGTGGGGCAGTTCTACTCTGTCCTATAGGGTCCCTATGAATTGAAACTGACTCACCAGCAATGGGTTTGGGGTCATGTGCATTGTAGAATGGTTAGTAGCATCCCTGGCATCTACTCATTAGATACCAGCAGCAACCCCCACACACACCCGCCCTGGAATTGCTGACAACCAAAAATATTTGCAGAAATACCAAATGTACCTCAGGAAATAGCCCTAGCTGAGAACCACTGTTAAAAAATTTACCAGTAGTCCCATCTGTTATTCTTTCTCACAGCTTGTTGTTGTTGTTATTAAGTGCCGTCGAGTCATTTCCGACTCATAGCAACCCCATGCACAGCAGAATGAAACACTGCCTGATCCCCTGCCAGCCCCACATCCCTGCTATACTTGAGCCCATCATCACAGCCACCATGTCAATCCATCTCGTTGAAGGCCTCCCCCTCTTTCGTCGACCCTCCACCCTACCAAGCATGACATCCTTCTCCAGGGAATGGTCCCTCCTTACAACATGACCAAAATAGGTGAGACGAAGTCTGGCCAGTCTTGCTTCCAAGGAGCATTCTGGCTGCACTTCCTCCAGGACAGATCTGTTAGTTCTTTTAGCAGTCCATGGTACTTTCAGCATTCTCCGCCAGCACTACAACTCAAAAGCATCAACTCTTCTTCAGTCTTCCTTATTCATTGTCCAGCTCTCACATGCATATGAGGCGATTGGAAATATCATAGCTTGTGTCAGGCCCACCTTAGTCCTCAAGGAGATATCCTTGCTCCTCAGCACTTGAAACAGTTCCTTTGCAGTTGACTTTCCCAATGCTACACGTCGTCTAACGTCCTGACTGCTGCTTCCGTTGGCATCAATTGTAGAACCAAGCAATGTGAATTCCTTGACAACCTCAATCTTCTCTCCATTGATTGTGATGCTGCTCATTGGTCCAGTTGTGAGGATTTTTGTTTTCTTTATGTTGAGATGTAATCCATACTGTAGACTGTATTCTTCAACCTTCATCAGTAGGTGCCTTAAGTCATCCTCACTTTCAGCAAGCAAAGTTGTATCGTCTGCATATCTCAGATTGTTAATGATTCTTCCTCCAATCCTGATACCATGTTTTTCTTCATATAGTCCAGCTTCTCGGATTATTTGCTCAGCATATAGATTGAATAAGTGTGGAGAAAGAATACAACCCTGACGCACTCCCTTCTTGATTTTAAACCATGTAGCGTCCCCTTGTTCTGTTCGAACGGAGGCTGTACACGTGGACTTCACCAGATGGAACACACAGGAATCAGATTGACTACATCTGTGGCAAGAGGCGGTGGAAAAGCTCAATATCTTCAGCCAAAACCAGTCCAGGAGCTGATTGTGGAACAGACCATCAACTGCTCATATGCAAATTCAACTTGAAGTTAAAGACAATGAAAACAAGTCCAAGAGAGCCAAAGTATGATCTTGAATATATCCCTCCTGAATTTAGAGATCATCTAAAGAATAGATTTGATGCGTTGAACACCAATGACCGAAAGCCAGATGAATTATGGGAAGATATCAAGAACATTATCCATGAAGAAAGCAAGAGATCACTAAAAAGACAAGAAAAGAAGAGAAGACCAAAGTGGATGACAGAAGAGACTCTGAACCTTGCCCTTGAGTGGAGAATAGCTAAAGCAAATGGAAGAAATGAAAAGGTAAAAGGGCTGAACAGAAGATTTCAAAGAGCAGCTCGAGTAGACAAAGCCAATTACTATAATGAAATGTGCAAAGACCTGCAGTCTGAGAACCAAAAGGGAAGAACACGCTCGGCATTTCTCAAACTGAAAGAACTGAAGAAAAAATTGAAGCCTCAAGTTGCAATAGTGAGAGATTCTATGGGCAAAATATTGAATGATGCAGGAAACATCAAGAGAAGATGGCAGGAATACACAGAGTCACTGTACCAAAAAGAACTGATCGATCTTCATCCATTTCTGGAAGTGGCATATGATCTAGAACCAATGGTAATGAAGGAAGAAGTCAAAGCTGCAATGAAAGAACTGGCGAAGAACAAGGCTCCGGGAATTGATGGCATACCGATTGAGATATTTCAACAAACAGATGCCCCATTGAAGGCACTCACTCAGTTATGCCAAGAGATTTGGAAGACAGCTACCTGGCCAACTGACTGGAAGAGATTATATTTGTGCCCATTCCAAAGAAAGGTGATCCCATAGAATGTGGAAATTATAGAACAATATCATTAATATCGCACTCAAGTAAGATCTTACGGAAGATAATTCAGAAATGTTTGCAGCAGTGTATTGACAGAGAACTTCCAAAGCTGGATTCAGAAGAGGATGTGGAATAAGGGATGTCATATCTGTTGTCAGATGGATCTTGGCTCAAGGCAAAGAATACCAGAAAGATGTTTACTTGTGTTTTATTGACTATGCAAAGGCATTTGATTGTGTGGATCATGACAAATTATGGATAACATTGAGAAGAATAGGAATTCTCGAGCACTTGATTGTACTCACGAGGAATCTGTACCTTGACCAGGAGGCTGTTGTTCGAACAGAACAAGGGGACATTTTCTCACAGCATGTAACCATAATTTGTCAATATATATGTATTTGTGATCTTACTTGACTACTGTCTTCCCAGATAGATTGTATTTTTATTAAGAATTGGACTGTATCTGTTCTGTGTACCACTGTATCCCTAGTCCTTTATAGAGTTTGGAAAACAATAGGAGTATAATAAGTTTTTGTTGGGTAAATAAATGTTCTCCCTGCTTTCAGACAAAGAAATTGAGACTCAAAGAGGTGAAATAGCTTGTCTGATAAGTAGCAGGAGTCATTGGGAGCTGTATTATTATTGCTCTTGAAGGTCACCCTCACAGGCCAAACCACACCCAATGACTCTGATGCTGGCACTGTTTCTTACGCCCCTACATTTCCTCCCTATATTAGTTTCCTGGTGCTGTCATAACAAATTACCATAAACTGGGTGGCTTAAGACAACAGAAACTTATTGTCTCACAGTTATGGAGGTTAGAACTCAAGGTGTTGGCAGAGCCACACTCCTCCTGAAGTCTCTAGTGAAGAATCCCTCCCTGCCTCTTCCAGCTGCTGGTGGCCCCAGGAGTTCCTTGGTTTATGGCACCATAACTCCAATCTCTGCCTATATCTACCTTTACGTGGTCTTCTTTTCTGTTTGTCTCTTTGTATCCTTTCCGGTTCTTATAAAGAACCAGTTGTTGGATTTAGGGCCTACCCTAAATACTGGGCCGGAAGGTGGTGAGCCAGGCACAGGGTTTGGAGCAGCTTTAAGGGAGGCCAGGAAGTGAGCAGAGCAGTTTGGAACATCTAAAGGAGATGAACTTGGCTGTCAATTTGTCATCCTGTGGTGGCTTACATGTTGCTATGAAGCTTGAGGCTATGCCACCAGTGTTGCAAAATGCCAGCAGGGTTACCCATGGTGGACAGGTTTCAGTAGAGCTTCCAGACTAAGAAAGGCTTAGAAGAAGGAAGAGGCCTTCCACTTATCAAAGAATTGGCCAATGAAAACCTTATGAATAGCAGTGAAGCACTATCTGATATATTACTAGAACACTTTATAAATAGTCCTGAAATATTGTCCAATATACTGACAAAAGATGAGCCCCTCAGGTCAGAAGGCACTCAAAATACAACTGGGGAAGAGCTGCCTCCTCGGAGTAGAACCAACCTTAATGATATGGATGGAGTAAAACTTTCAGGACCTCCATTTGCTGATGTGGCATGACTGAAAATGAAAAGAAACAGCTGCAAACATCCATTAATAATTGGAACATGGAATGTGTGAAACATGAATCTAGGAAAACTGCAAGTTGTCAAAAATGAAATGAAATTCATAAAGATCAATATTCCAGGCATTAGTGAGCTGAAATGGACTGGTTTGGGCCATTTTGAATCAGACAACCACATGATCTACTATGCCAGGAATGCCAATTTGAAGAGGAATGCCATGGCATTCATCATCACAAAGAATGTCTCAAGATCTATCCTGAAATACAGTGCTGTCAGTGATAGGATAATATCCATATGCCTACAAGGAAAGCCAGTTAATACTACTATTATTCAAATTTATGCACCAACCACCAAAGCCAAAGATGAGGAAATTGAAGATTTATCAACTTCTACAGTCTGAGATTAACCAAACATGCAATCAAGATGTGTTGATTATCACTGGTGACTGGGATACAAAAGTTGGAAACAAAGAAGAATCACTGGTAGTTGGAAAATATGGCCTTGGTGATAGAAATAACCCTGGAGAACGCATGATAGAATTTTGCAGGACAAACAACTTATTCATTGAAAATACCTTTTTTCAACAACACAAATGGTGGCTATACATGTGGACTTCACCAGATGGAGTGCACAGGAATCAGATTGACTACATCTGTGGCAAGAGGCAATGGAGAAGCTCAGTATCTTCAGCCAAATAAGGCCAACAGCTGATTGTGGAACAGACCATCAACTGCTCATATGCAAGTTCAAGTTGAAGCTGAAGACAATTTTAAGAAGTCCATGAGAGCCAAAATATGACCTTGATTATATCCCTACTGAAGTTAGAGACCATTTAAAGAGTAAATTTGATGCATCGAACACCAGTGACTGAAAATCAGAGGAATTGTGGGATGACATCAAGAACATCATCCATGAAGAAAGCAAGAAGTCATTAAAAAGACAAGAAAGGAAGAAAAGACCAAAATGGATGTCAGAAGAGTTTCTGAACGTTTCCCTTGAATGGAGAGTAGCTAAAGCAAATGGAAGAATGACAAGATAATAGAGCTGAACAGAAGATTTCAAAGAGCAGCTTGAGAAGACAAAGTCAATTATTATAATGAAATGTGCAAACACCTGGAGTTAGAAAAACAAAAGGGAAGAACACACTCAGTATTTCTCAAGCTGAAAGAACTGAAGAAAAAATTTAAGCCTCCAGTTGTAATATTGAAAGATTCTATGGGCAAAATACTGAATGGTGCAGAAAACATCAAAAGAAGATGGAAGGAATACACAGAGTCACTGTACCAAAAAGAATTGGTTGATGTTCATACATTTCAGGAGGTGGCATATGATCAAGAACCAATGGTATTGAAGGAAGAAGTCAAGGCTGCACTGAAGAAATTGGCAAAAAACAAGGCTCCAGGAATTGACGGAATACCCACTGAGATATTTCAACATATGGATGCCGCATTGGAGGCACTCACTCAGCTATGCCAACAGATTTGGAAGACAGCTACCTAGCCAATTGACTGGAAGAGATCTATATTTGTACTCATTCCAAAGAAAGGTGATCCCACTGAATGTGGAAATTATCAAACAATATTATTAATATTGCACACAAGTAAGATCTTACTGAAGATAATTCAAAAACGGTTGCAGCAGTATATTGACAGAGAACTTCCAGAAATGCAAGCTGGATTTGGAAGAGGCCATGGAACAAGGGATATCATTGCTGATGTCAGACGGATCTTGGCTAAAAGCAAAGAATACCATAAAGATGTTTACTTATGCTTTATTGACTATTAAAAAGCATTTGATTGTGTGGATCATAATAAATTATGGATAACATTGAGAAGAATGGGAATTCCAGAACATTTCATTGTACTTATGAGGAACCTATACATAGACCAGAAGGCTGTCATTCATATAGAACAAGGGGATATTGCATGGTCTAAAATCAAGAAGAGAGTGTATCAGGGTTGTATCCTTTCACCATACTTACTCAATTTGTATGCTGAGCAAATAATCCTAGAAGCTGGATTATATGAAGAAGAACGTGGCATTAGGATTGGAGAAAGACTCATTAACAACCTGTGATATGTAGATGACACAATTTTACTTGCTGAAAGTGAGGGAGACTTAAAGTACTTACTGATGAAGATTGAAGACTACAGTCTGCAGTATAGATTACACCTCAATATAAAGAAAACAAAAATCCTCACAACTGGACCAATAAACAGCATCATGATAAATGGAGAAAAGATTGAAGTTGTCAAAGACTTCACATTACTTTGACACCAATGGAAGCAGCAGTCAGGACATCAGACAATGTATTGCATTGGGAAAATCAGCTACAAAAGATGTTTTTCAAATTCTGAAGAGCAAAGATGTGTCCTTGAAGACTAAGGTGCACCTGACCCAAGCCATGGTATTTTCAATCACCTCTTATGCATGAGAGCTGGACAATAAATAAGGAAGACTGAAGAAGAGTTGATGCTTTTGAGTGTGGTATTGATTGGCAAAGAATACTGAGAGTACCATGGACTGCTGAAAGAACTAACAAATCTGTCCTGGAAGAAGTGCAGCCAGAATGCTCCTTGGAGGCAAGAATGGCCAGGCTTCATCTCACCTACTTTGGTCATATTGTCAGAAGGAATCATTCCCTGGAGAAGGCTATCATGCTTGGTAAAGTGGAGGTTCAACAAACAAGGGGAAGGCCTTCAATGAGATTGATTGACCTGGTGGCTGCAACAGTGGGCTCAGGTATATAATAGGGATCATGAAACCGGCATAGGACCAGGCACTGTTTCATTCTGTTTTACATAGGGTCGCCATGAGTTGGATATGACTCAACAGCACCTAACAACAACAACTAAATCCTGGATGTTGTCATCTGGAGATCATTAACTAATTACATCTGTATATATACATACCGGGAGCTCTGGTAGCATAGTGCCTAAGACACTTAACTGCTAAGCAGAAAGCTGGCAGCTCAAACCCACCAGCCACTCCTTGGAAGGAAGGTTGGGCAATCTACTTCTGTAGTGATACTGCCTCGGTAACACAAGGAGGGGTCGCTATGAGTCGGGTCCGACTCTAGCACACAACAACAACATATACATATACATACCAGTTGCTGTCGACTAGATAGATTCAGGCTTATTGCAACCCTACAGGACAGGGTAGAACTGCCTCATGGGGTTTCCAAGGCTGCAGTCTTTATGGAAGCAAAGCCACTGTTGGGTTTAAATCACCGACCTTTCAGTTAGCAGCCAAGTGCCACTGTGCCACCAGGGCTCCTTACCTATTTCTCAGATTTGTTGAAAAGCTTAAATGAACCAATCAGTGTAATGCCTGGTACCTCATAAGGATTGAGCGATTTTAGCTGTCACTATCTTCATTTTACGGGGCAATCTACTTATGTAAAGATTTACTGCCTTGGAAACCCAATGGGGGTCGCTATGACTCAGAATTGACTCAGCGTCAGTGAGTTTGGTTTTGTTTTTGGTATCTTTATTTCAAGGCTCTCACATATCTTCCTCCTTCACTCTGCTTGATGAGGGCATGTTTCTGTAGTGCCTTCTGTTTTAAAGTGTTCTCATTCTTTTGAGGGCAGACTGGGTGTAGGTTGTCAGTGACAGACTTCATCTATGTAACTATTTTTTGCCTTCAACAGGAAATTGCAAATAAACCCCAAAACAACGCCTCAGAACAACCTCTCCCTGTCAACTGTGTTTCTGAGCTGAGGAAAAGGAGCCCATCCATCGTAACCTCCAGCCAAGGAAGGGTATTGCAGAAAGCCAAGGTACAGCATTAAGTCAGCTGATCACACTTCAGGGATCTGGAAGCCTCTGTTGTATGGAACCTCACCAAGAAACAAAAAAGCAGCTGTTGAGAAAGGTTGCCAGAACATCTATGCAGTGAAACTTACAAACTTTTCTCAGAGGGGAACACCCTCAGACCCCATTCAAAATTAGTTCACTCCTTTTTAACACATAGTTCTAACAAGCAGATTTATCTGGTTTCTGAGCTTACAGTATATTTTGAGACAAAAAAGGTTGCGTTTCATAGGTGAGGAAACTGAAGCACAGGGAGAAAAGGACTTGCCCAAGGTTATGCAGAGCATCTTTGAGAGTGCTGGGATGCAAGCCTGCCTCTTCCAAGTCTAAAATCAGGGCTTCTTCTGTGAAACTGGTCCACAGTCCCTTCTCTGCAACTCTTAGGGCTGATGGTGTTTCAGAACTTTTCAGATTTCAAAAAGGTAATATGGCACGTGTATGAAATATGATGACATACCCCAACAAGTTCTCAGATGGCACACTGTAAGCAAACGCATTAAAATTTCTACAGCAAGACGTGACTATTCACACCACATGGAACAAATAAATACTATAAATAACCTCACATCAGTTCAGATCAGATTTTGCTGCCAAATTAGTTTGTTCCAAAATATTTGAGAAAACTTTCAGAGCTTTTTGGATTATAGAATTGACAATGAGGGAACATGGACCTGAAAAACAAATGTCTAACATCAGCAGTGCTCAACAATATATCCTTTGCTGAAGCAGAAGCTGATGCTGAGACCAGTCTGAAAAATTGATAGGAGATGAGACTGGCTTTATAGTTTGATATAGAAGTACTTGAATTCCCAGGCTAAGAAATGTGGAGACTGATGAGTTTTCAAAGAATATCCATTTTTAAGATAAAACAAAATTAATTTTTATTTAAAATAGAAGGGAAAACATCCTGTCTGAAGCAGTGGAAATTTCCAAATTTATTCATTCAAAAAATATATTGAGCACCTGCTAAATTCTGGCACTTGGCTAAACACTTTCATGTTTTCTCATTTAATATTTGCAATAACTAAGTAAAGTGGGCATTATTGGCCCCATTTCACAGATGAGAAGACTGAAATTTAATGGGTGGGATAGAGTAGTGACCAAGACAGATAAGGTCTCAGCTCTCAAGGAGTTTCCATTCTAGCAAAGGGAGATAGGTAATACGTAAGTGCCTGATTCATTTAAAAAGATAATTTCAGGAAGTGATGCATGCTACAAAGAAAATGCAACAAGGAAGAGTGATTAGGGGCAGCACTGAAGTAATAGATAAAGTGGTCAGGGAAAGCTTCTCCAAGCAGAGACCCAAACAGTGAGAAGGACCAGCCATGAGACCTGAAGCAAAAGCATTCCAGGAAACAGCAAGTGTGGAAGTTCTCAAGAGGGTCTGATGGGCTGAACTGAGCCTGGAGTGGGGGGAATGGAGTGAGGAAGAGGGAGAGTGGAGTGAGTTGAAGGTGAAGAGTTAGGTTAAGACCTGATCATTCCAAGACCCTGAAACTGCGTATCAGAATATGCTTAAAGAACAGTTATTTAAGACTTTTATCCTACTGCTTGGGGAATGTTGGCCAATTTGTCTAGGATCATTACCAGCCCCGACTTTAAAATTCAGGGTTCTCTATCTAGGCTGAAGCTTAATCATCAAGTTGGAATTGTTGACTTTCACAGCCAGACAAGGAAGAGCCTTTATTTTTTCCTTCAGGTAGTCAGTCATTCAACAAATATTTACTGAGTACTTACTGTGTATAAAGTCTTATTCTAAGTTCTGGTTACATAACAAGGAACAAAACAAAATCCCCCTCCCCTAGAATATAGCTTATATTCTTGTTGGGAAGGCAAGACTATAAATAAACATATAAACATCAGGTAGTAATAAGTACTTTTGAAGAAAAATAAAGCAGGGTAAAAGAAGAAACGTGATGGGGCTAAGGGGTGGCTGTTTCAATCATAGTGACAGGAAAGACCTTTTTGAGAAGGTGACATATAGGCAGAGACTTGAATGGAGTGTGGGGGAGTGGGGTATGTGGATGTCTGAGGGAAGGATGGTCCAGGCAGAGAGAAAAGCAAGTGCCAAGCTCTTGACGGAACAAAGCTTGACTTGTCCAAGAACATCAAGAAGACTCAAGTGATTCCAGTGGAGGGAGCAAAGGGTGAATGTTAGGAGATGAGATCAGAGAAATAATCAGCCAGGGCCAAATCATCTGGAGCAAGTGTCAGCAAATATTTTCTGCAAAGGGCCATACAGATATTTTAGGCCTTTGTGGACTGCACTATATGGTCTCTATTGCAACCACTCAACTCTACCAGTTAGTGAGAAAGCAATCAGAGATGATATATCAATGAATAATAAGTATGGCTGTGTCTCAATAAAACTTTATCTATGGACACTGATATTTGAGTTCCTTATAATTTTCATGTAATGAAATATTCTTTTTGATTTTTTTTCCAAACATTTAAAAATGTAAAAACTATTCTTAGCTGATAGGTTATACAGAAACAGGCAGCAGACCACACCTGGCCCACAGGCCATAGTTTGGTGATATTTGACCTAAAACCTAGTAGGCATCAGAGAAACTTTATATTTTGCTTTAACATAATAGAAAGTCATTGGAAAGTTTTGAGGAAAGAGAATTATAAATATATAATATAAATATAAATGATTATATTTTTAAAAGATAATTCTGGCTCCTGTGTTAAGAATGGATGAGAGAATGGAAAGACCAGTTAGAAAACTACTATAATCATCTAGATGAGAAATGAGCAAGATTTAGTGGAGGTTATGAGAAGTAGTTGGTTTTGGAGGTAGAGCCAAAGGGTTTGCTAATGAAGATATAGAGGATGAGGAAAAGAAAAGAAGCAGGGATGACTCCTAGATCGTTGCCCTGACAAATTGCAGTTTAGGTGCTGATGACTCGGAAAGGAGCAAGTTAAGGAATGGAGGATCCTCCCACCAAGAATTGCCCAACCACTTGGTCTACCCTGATTCACACCATCAACTCCAGGGCTAGCTGGCAACTTCGTACATTGTTTATGAGTAAAAAGCCATTTGCTATGGGCACAACTTCAGTATGCCTCTCAAACTCCTTGGTAGAAGAAATGGAGCCCTGTGGGCTGCCTGCCTTCAGCCTTCTTTACCAAACTGCTATGGCTTTTTTCCCCCAACATCTTCCTACCCCACCCAAGGTCCTACAAAATAAAACTGGAGTCAGACGCAGTCCCCACTCCCCTTAGTTCCTGGCTTCCGTTTCTTGTGTGGGAAAGACAACCTTTGTGATCTAAACCCCCTTAGAGATGAGACCCAGACTGGAGAAGTGACTTACCAAGGCCACAGAAAACAAGAGAGTGAAACTAGGACCCAAAGCTTTCTAACCTGGTCAGTGGAGATCATTATATAATTAGGTGCAGTGAAAAATGTATTTATCTTGTAAGTCACACTGGCATATTCAGCAAAATGATCTGTCTTGTCTTTCTGTATTTCAGGAATGGGAAATGAAGAAGACCTGGAAAGAGGATAAAGATTTTATCCCAAAGAACATATCAGCTTGTCCATCTAAGGCAGAAAATCTTTCTTTACAAGGATACACAGGAGAAGACTAGAAGTAGCCCCTCACTCTCTTGGGCAACCAAAAGACCAGCCTTTATTGTCTGCATGATTTTAGGGGATAGAGGGAGGGAAGAAGAAAAGAGGGGAATGAAGGACATCCTTATGACTACAGAGGGTGGAATATAGAGTGGGGGAAGACAGAATTGTAAAGATTTTGTTAGATATCTTTGCCTTCCCTTCTGAAGAAGAAATGAAAGCACATGTGAATAAGCCATTCCACTCTATTCTCAACATCCCATACCCAGTCCTTAGAGCAAAGGAAAGCATTGCTGAAACATCAGTGGTATAGCATGAGGAGATATGATTTGAACATATGATCACACTTTTGCCAAGTAGATTCATGTTGGGCATTGCTGACAACCTCTGGGCAAGATAAATAAGCTTAAAAATCAACAGAATTACCCCCCATGTTTAAAGATGAAGATAAGCTAAATAGAATATCCAAATTCTCAATCATTCCTCATTTGCTTTAGGGCTAAGCAGAGTGCAGCTACTGGAATCTTCCATATTTGAGTGATTTTAAATCAGATCTGAGTATGCAGCAGGCAAGAAGAGGCTGAGCAGCTGACATATGTTAAGCTTGCAGTAACACTCAGTGACAGGACAGGACCTTGGGTTTCTAACATCCACAGGCTGTTACAGGCATTGTAGGGTGGGATCAGCTGCTGTCAGTCAAGCCATGTGACCTATTTCTGTATAACACTCAGCTCCTGGGGCTACAGGTGAAATCCATGTGACACTCCTTATGACTTTCTCCTAACAAAGTCTTCATCTTGCAATTGGAGGCTCACCAGCCTGCCTTTCCACAACTGCTATACAGTAAAACTATCAGGATACCAAGAGGATGGTGGCTCATTTCTGCCACATGGGTGCTACGCCCTTTATAAACACTTAATAACTTTCGTGGGGGGAACAAGGACCTCAAGTCCTGGGCAATCTTGCTTCTTGCACCACTAACTACTATCTCAACACTGTATGCACTTTATGAGTCTAACACATTTTCCTCCAATAAAGTTAAGATCATTTAACTTTAAGAGTTCAGAGGTTAGCTCAGCAGGAGAGAAGGGAAATTCCAACTCTGCTAAAGGCTTTGTATACTTTGCGTACCTGACCTAAGGTTTTACAGGAGTCCATAGGTGGTGCCGATGGTTAACATGCTTAGCTGCTAACCAAAATGCTGGGGGTTCAAGTCCACCCAGAAGCATCTCAGAAGAAAGGCCTTGCAATCTACTTCTGAAAAAATCAGTCACCAAAACCCTATAGAGCACAGTTCTACTGTGACACACAAGGCTGCCGTGAGTCAGAATCAACTTGATATCAGTTGTGATAGTGGTGGTGAGGTAGCTGAAGACAAGAGCAGGGGAAATAGTGTGACCAAAATCACCCAGCTGATCTGTAACTGAGCATAGGACTTAGGGGTTATGAGCCTGGATTCAGACCTCTGGGTTTGAACCCTGCCTCTGCCAGACCAGCTGGGTGACTTTGTAAAAGTCACTTGATCTCTCTGATTCTTGCTTTCCTTATCTGTGAAAATAGGGTTAACAATTGTACTTTCCTACTCAAGACTGTCCACCACTCATCTGTCAGTTTGTCATACTGTGGTGGCTTGCATGTTGCTGTGAGGCTGGAGGCTAGCCCACCAGTATTTCAAATACCAGCAGGGTCACCCATGGTGGACAGATTTCAGCAGAGCTTCCAGACTAAGACAGACTCAAAAGAAGGTGAGGGGCCATCCACTTCTCAAAGAATTGGCCAGTGGAAACCATATGAATATCAGTGAAACACTGTCTGATATATTACTGGAATACTTTATGAATAGCCCTGAAACATTCACCAGGTGGAGTATATAGGAATCAGATCGACTACATCTGTGGAAGGAGATGATAGAGAAGCTCAATGTCTCCAGCCAAAATAAGGCCAGGAGCTGACTGTGGAAATGACCATCAACTGCTCATTTGCAAGTTCAGGTTGAAGTTGAAGACAACTAAAATAAGTCCACGAGAGCCAAAATATTACCTTGATTATATCCCTCCTGAATTTAGAGACCACCTAAAGAATAGATTTGATGCATTGAACACCAATGACTGAAAACTAGATGAAATGTGGGATGACATCAAGAACATCATCCATGAAGAAAGAGGTCATTAAAAAGACAGGAAAGGAAGAAAAGACCAAAATGGATGTCAGAAGAGACTCTGAAACTCACCCTTGAATGGAGAGTAGCTAAAATAAATGGAAGAAATGACAAGATAAAAGGGCTGAACAGAAGATTTCAATAAGCAGCTTGAGAAGGCAAAGTCAATTATTATAATGAAATGTGCAAAGACCTGAAGTTAGAAAACCAAAAGGGAAAAACACGCTCAGTATTTCTCAAGCTAAAAGAGCTGAAGAAAAAAATTCAAGCCTCAAATTTCTATATTGAAAGATTCTATGGGCAAAATATGGCACAGTGATAAAGCACTTGACTGCTAACTGGAAGGTCAGCAGTTCAAACCCATCCATTGAAGGAAGATGGGGCAATCTACTTCTGTAAAGATTTACAGCCTTGGAAACCCAAATGGGGGTCACTATGAGTCGGAATCGACTCTATGGCAGTGCATTTGGTTTGGTTTGTTTTTAGGGGCAAAATATTGAATGATGGAGGAAGCATCAAAAGAAGATGGAAAGAATACAAAGAGTCACTGTGCCAAAAAGAATTGGTTGATGTTCATCCATTTCAGGAGGTGGCATATGATCAAGAACCAATTGTATTGAAGGAAGAAGTCGAAGCTGTACTGAAGGAATTGGCAAAGAACAAGGCTCCAGGTATTGACAGAATACCCACTGAGATATTTGAACAAACAGACGATGCACTGGGGGCACTCACTTGTTTGTGCCAAGAGATTTGGAAGACAGCAACCTGGCCAGTTGACTGGAAGAGATCCATATTTGTACCCATTCCAAAGAGAAGTGATCCAACAGATGTGAAAATTATCCAACAATATCATTAATATCACATGCAAATAAAATGTTGCTGAAGATAATTAAAAAACTGTTGCAGCAGTATATTGACAGAGAACTTCCAGAAATGCAAGCTGGACTCAGAAGAAAATGTGGAACAAGGGATATCACTCCTGACGTCAGATGGATCTTGGCTGAAAGCAAAGAATACCAGAAAGATCCTTACTTATGCTTTATTGGCTATGCAAAAGTATTTGATTGTGTGGATCATAACAAATTATGGATACCACTGAGAAGAATGGGAATTCCAGAACACTTAATTGTGCTCATGAGAAACCTGTACATGGACCAGAAGGCTATTATTCTAACAGAACAAGGAGATAGTGTATGGTTTAAAATCAGGAAGGGAGTGTATCAGGGTTGTATCCTTTCACCATCCTTACTTGATCTGTATGCTGAGCAAATAATCTGAGAAGCTGGATTGTATGAAGAAGAACGTGGCATCAAGATTGGAGGAAGACTCATTAACAACCTGCACTATGCAGATGGCACAACTTTGCTCGCTGAAAGTGAAGATGACTTGAAGCACTCACTGATGAAGATTAAAGACTATAGTCTGCAGTATGAATTACATCTCAATATTAAGAAAACTAAAATCCTCACAACTGGACCAATAAGCAGCATCACAATAAATGAAGAAAAGATTGAAGTTGTCAAAGATTTCATATTACTTGATTCCACAATCAACACCAATGCAGCAGTCAAGACATCAGACAACATATTGCACTGGGCATATCTGCTGCAAAAGACCTCTTTAAAGTTCTGAAGAGCAAATATGTCTTTTTGAAGAATAAGGTTGCCTAACCCAAGCCATGGTATTTTCAATCACCTCGACTCGACGGCAATGAATTTGGTTTTTGGTTTTTTTGATCATATGACAGAGCTAAACAGTGAATAAGGGAGACTGAAGAAGAGTTGATGCTTTTGAGTTGTGGTGCTGGCAAAGAATACTGAAAGTACCGTGGACTGCCACAAGATCAACAAATCTATCCTGGAAGAAGTGCAGGCAGAATGTTCCTTGGAAGTGAGAATGGCCAGACTGTGTCTCACCTACTTTGGTTCTCCAGGATCACTCCCTGAAGAAGGATATCATGCTTGGTAAAGTGGAGGGTCAACAAAAAAGGGGAAGGCCCTCAGTGAGGTGGATTGACACAGTGGCTACAACGATGGGTTTAGGTGTAGCAAGCATTGTGAGGCTGGCACAGGACCAGGCAGTGTTTTGTTCTGTTGTGCATAAGACCGCTATGAGTCACAGCCAACTTGATGGCACCTAACAACAACAACTCAAGACTATTGGAGCCAGTCAGTGAAATAATACATGGGAAACATCTTGCACAGTGTCTCAGTCAATACTGGCTCTTACGATTAACTAAGCTGGACAATGAATAAGGAAGACCCAAGAAGAGTTGATGCTTTTGAGTTGTGGTGCTGGTGGAGAATGCTGAAAGTACCATGGACTGCTAAAAGAACTAACAGATCTGTCCTGGAGGAAGTGCAGCCAGAATGCTCCTTGGAAGCAAGAATGGCCAGACTTCGTCTCACCTATTTTGGTCATGTTGTAAGAAGGGACCATTCCCTGGAGAAGGATGTCATGCTTGGTAGGGTGGAGGGTCGACAAAAGAGGGGGAGGCCTTCAACGAGATGGATTGACACGGTGGCTGCGATGATGGGCTCAAGTATAGCAGGGATTGTGGGGCTGGCGCGGGATCCGGCAGTGTTTCCTTCTGCTGTGCATGGGGTTGCTATGAGTCAGAAACGACTCGACGGCACTTAACAATGATTCGCTAATTAGCTAGATAAGAAATATCTGACTGAAAAGCTTATGTTCTTTCCATTGAAGGAGTGATTTTTAAATGGTTATTACAGCCATTGATACTAAAAGGCAATCATCTCATAACTGACGGATTTTCATCCAGATTCCCCTGAATGAGTATCTTTAGGGAAAAAAGGAGCTTGCATATAGATTGTTAGTATTCCTTTTCTAAAATGTGGGTCCTGAATGGCACCCAACATCCCAACAATGTCCTCACTATGTATCACATTCTTTCCCATGCAGTTGTTTTAGGGTTAAGTGTTTTTCCCAGCAACAGATCTTAGACTCTTAGAGAGGATGGATCCTTGGTACTAAATAATGAACATTTACTGAGCACTCACCATGAATCAGGCACTATGCTAGCCAGGGCATGCAACCCGTGCTAAGCAAAACAGCAGCTAAGCAAATTAGGCAGCTAAGAGAATGGCTAAAGTTTGGACGCCAGTTCTGGCTTTCATTGTGCTTTTTCAGCATATAGGCTCACAGGTCTGTGGTGAACTTGAAGCTCCATCCTTCCTGACACTGCCAAGTGTTTGGACAATCAGAATTCTAGTGAGAGACCTTGAGTAGGTTCACCAACTCCTCTAAACCTCAATTTTCTCATATGTAAAAGGAAATCATAATTCCTCCCTAATTATGTAGTAGCTCTCCTAATAAAACCAGAAGGAAGATACTAGCTCTGTCCTCATGAAACTCACAGACAAGGACAGAGAATCTGACCCAGTATCTATGGTACAAGCAAGCCATGTTATGGTGAAGATTCAAAATGCTGAAGGCACACTTCCCATTAAAAAAAAAAAGACCTAAAGGGCTATTCAGTAACTAATCCTGCAACTCCAGGTACTATGGATCCCAATTACCAGTCCATCTTCACATCCTGAAACCTTTCTATACTAAGTTGTTAAAATTCATTGTCATTTTCTCATCTCCATGGACACCATCCAACTTCATTAATACCAAAAACCCAACCAAACTTCCTGCCATCCAGTCAGATCCAACTCATAGCAACCCCTCCTTGGATTTTCGAGACAGTGTCATTATGGAAGTAGATTGCCCAATCTTCCTTCCAAGGAGTGGCTGGTGGCTTTGAACTGCCAGCCCTCTAGTTAGCAGTCAAATGCCTTAGGCACTATGCCACCAGAGCTCCTTACTTCATTAATACATTCAACAAATACTTATTGACTACTTTCTGTGTTAATAATATGGTTCAATGATTTCCGCATTCTTTTGGATCACCCTTCTTTGAAATGGGCACAAATATGGATCTCTTCCAGTCAGTTGGCCAAGTAGTTCTCTTCCAAATTTCTTGGCATAAACAAGTGAGCGCCTCCAGCACTGCATCCATTTGTTGAAACGTCCATAGGTATTTTATCAGTTCCTGGTGCCTTGCTACGATTCAAAAACGGTTGCAACATTATATCAACAGAGAGCTGCCAGAAATTTTATCCAAATTAGAAGAGGATGTGTAACAAGGGATATCCTTGCTGATATCAGATGGATCTTGGCTAAAAGCAAAGAATACCAGAAAGATGTTTACCTGTATTTTATTGACTATGCAAAGGCACTTGACTCTTTGAATCATAACAAATTATGGTTTACATTGCAAAGAATGGGAATTCTAGAATGCTTAATTATGCTCATGAGGAACCTGTACATAGACTAAGAGCCAGTCATTTGAACAGAACTGGGGGATATTGAACAGTTTAAAATCAGGAAGGGTGTGCATCAGGGTTGTAGCCTTTCACCACACTTACTCAATCTGTATGCTAAGCAGATAATCCAAGAAGTTGAACTATATGAAGAAGAATGTGGTATCAGCATCAGAAGAAGACTTATTAACAACCTATGATATGCACATGACACAACCTTGCTTGCTGAAAGTGAAGATGACTTGAAACACTTACTGATGAAGATCAAAGACTGCAGCCTTCAGTATGGATCAGACCTCAACATAAAGAAAACAAAACTCCTTACAACTGGACCAGTAATCATGGACCACCATCATGGTAAATGGTGAAAAGATTGAAGTTGTTAGGGATTTCATTTTGCTTGGATCCTCAGTCAACATCCATGGAAGCAACAGTCAAGAAATCAGACAACATACTGCACTGGGAAAATCTGCTGCAAAAGACCTCTTTAAAATGTTAAGGAGCAATGATGTCAATTTGGAGATTATGGTGCTCCTGACCCAAGCCATGGTATTTTCAGTCACCTCATATTCAGTGGTACAGTGCCTAAAAGCATTTGACTACTAACCAGAAGGTTGGTGGTTCAAACCCATCACTGCTCTGCAGAAGGAAGATGGGACAATCAACTTCTGTAAAGATTTACTGCCTTGGATACCCAGTGGGGGTTGCTATGAGCTGCAATCAACTCGATGGTAGTGGATTTGTTTTTTGTTTTTTGTTCTTTTCCATACGCGTGTGAAAGCTGAACAATGAATAAGGAAGATTGCAGAAGAATTGATGCCTTTGAATTGTGGTATTGGTGAATACTGAAAATACCATAGAATACCAGAAGAACAAACAAATCTGTCTTGGAAGAAGTGCAGCCAGAATGCTTCTTAGAAGCAAGACTGGCCAGACTTTGTCTCACCTAGTTAGGCCATGTTATTAGAAGGGACCAGTCCCTGGAAAAGGATATCATGCTTGGTAAAGTAGAGGGTCAGTGAAAGAGGGGAGACCTTCAAAGAAATAGATTGACATAGTGGCTGCAATGACAGACTCAAGTACAGCAAGAACTGTGAGGATGACACAGGACCAGCAGTATTTTGTTCTGTTTGACACAGAGTCGCTATGAATTGGAGCCAACTCAACAGAGCCTAATAACAACAACTTCATATGTTAGGAAGAAAAGCCTGGCAATCTACTTCAAAAATCAACCTATGAAAACTCTACGGATCACAACAGTCCAGTCTGCAAGCAATCATGAGGATGGTGCAGGCTGGGCAGCCATGAGACTGCCATTGTGCATGCAGGGACTGTAAGTTGAGTGACAACTTGACCGCAGATAACAACACCATCTTCTACTAAATGCACCTACTGTGCAAGAAGCCAGAAATCAACAGCTGTAAACAAGACAGACACCCTCATGAAGTTCAATAGTGTTAATTGGGAGAATAAAAAGGAAACAAAACAAATAAATAAAATACTAAGATGGAAACAAAAAGTTGCTGGACACACACAGCTACTTTAGATAAGGTGGTTGTAAAAGTTCCTCTGTCTAGCTGACCCCAGGACAGAACACAGCCCTCTCTTCCCTGGGTCATTGCAACAGCTGTCTTCTCCATTTGTAATCTCCATATTGCTAAAGTGACCCTAAAACATATAAAGGATTTGTCACACATTGCCTTTGCAATTAGAATGAGAAACTAAAGTTCATTGAGCAAAAATTTTTGAACACCTACGACATTAAGGGAACTGTTCATAAAGAATGAAATACCAGACCAAAAAACTTTCTGCCCTAATGGTGCTTTCTTGCTACTGAGAAGAAAGGAAACAACACACATCATTTAAAAACATAGTCAGAAAATAAGTGCATTGTAGAAAAAATCAAGAATGTCTAGATGTGGGTGGGGGTTTTCAGCCAGCAATATTTTTAAATCCTTTTCATTATCTGGCCCTGCCTAACCACCCTTCTTATGTTGTTCCCCCACTTTCCTCTGTATTTCAGTTCCCTATTTGCAACATTTTCTTCACTAGACCTTTCCAGATTTTTTTCTCTGCCTACACCACTTCCAGGAGCTTTGAGGACCTGTGGTAGCATATGTAGTGCCTAAGGCACTTGACTGCTAACCAGAAGGCTGGTGGTTCAAACCCACCCAGCCACTCCTGGGAAGGAAGGTTGGGCAATCTACTTCCATAGTGATACTGCCTCGAAACCCAAGGAGGGGTCTCTACAGGTCAGTCTGACTCCAGGGCACATAACAAAAACACCACCACAACTTCCCTCTTCTTCAGCTATTCATTCCTCATCTCTCACTTTCTTTGGGATTCATCCATATTTGTATTCCAAATGTTCACAACACCATCCTCACCTTTGGAGGCGCTCTGGTGGCACAGTGGTTAAGGCATTTGGCTACTACCCAAAGATCTGCGGTCTGAACCCACTGCAGGAGAAAGATGGAGTAGTCTGCTTTTTAAAGATTTACAGCCTTGGAAATCCTGCGGCGCAACTCTCAGTCATATAGTATCCCTGAGCTAATCTCCATGGCAGTGGTTTTGAGTTTGGGGTTTATCTTCACCTATAAGCACAGGTCATATTTTGCTTTTATACTGCGTCTGTATTTGTTTATTATTTGTAACTTCATGTAATCTTCATGAGGGCACCTTCCTGAGCAGTTCTGGGCGCGTGGATGTCAGCCTAACACGGAGTCTACGTCTTTAAAGCAAAGCTCTGTCCTTTGCGCCCCACACACCATAAACCGGAAGTGTCGAGTTATGTCCTAAACACGCGAGCAGGAACCACAGGGCGCGTTAGTAAAACCAGAAGTGTAGCGTTCCAGTCCTTAACCCAAAGAAGGAAACGCCCGCGAAGGCTGCTGGGAAGGTTTTTTTTCTTTTTTTTCAAGCGAGCACTTCTCGTCACTTGTAGCTAGTGCGCTTGCGCTACCGCCGTAAACCAGGGTCGGGAACATGGCAGCACGGTCCCTGTGGGCGGTCCGCTGGCGGTTGCAGCGCCTCCTGGCCTCGAGTGCTTCGTCCTGTGGCAGGTAAATGGGGCAAGCGAGGGTCGGGAACGTGAAGCCGATGCGGGACGGGTAAGCTGGCGGGCCAGTTGTGAGATGGAGGGCGAGGGTTACCTCAGAGCAAGTGAGAGAACCCGCAAGATTCTCGGCTTCTGCGAGCAGGCGCTTGCGGCCCCATTTTACAGAGGGAAACTGAGGCTCACAGGCTTGCCTCCTTCCCAGGCCGAGGAAGGCTAGAAGATCCGAGGGCTTGTCTTCGGAAGTGGGAGTATTTTCAGCCCAGAGCACCGAATGAATTGGAGGCGTACTTCTCTCCCGTCCCCTTTCCCGGTTTATGGTGCCTGAGGGTAAATTTGGGTTCTTTCGCCCCTGCTCCCTGTGTTACTTTAGACCAGTCCTTTCCCCTTCATCTGGGCGTCACATTACCTGTCAGTAAAAGTAGGTCATTGAACTTGGTCTTTTCAAAGGGCCTTTCCACCTGTCTTTGGGAGTCAGTTAAATTCCAGTTGCTGCCTTATTACCATCAGCAGTGGCACTATTACCTTTTATTAATTGTTTACCTTGAGGTTGGCAGAAGCAGGTAGTTCTTTACATTATCCCCCATTTAATAATTGAGGAAACAAGTTTAGAAAAGCTGAGTAGCTTTTCCAAATTCAAATACTCCTGAAGTGGTGGGATCCAGGATGGAAACTAGTCAAGGCTCCAGAATCTAGGGTCGTAATTACTAGTAAAAGATGGTAATTAATCTCTGCTACTATTTTTTTTCTAAGAAGTGGCCAATTAAGCTAAGGGGAAAAACCCAGGAAATTTGCATAATTAATTTGTCACCTTTTTCTCTTGCGTAATTTATCTTTTGATCTAGTACCTGGTCTTGAAGTTGAATTCAGGGTTTTTGGATTCTTCTGGTTTTATTTTATTTTAAAGTCTTTTTGGCAGTTTGTTGGTGATTAAGGGAAGTGAGCAGAAAAAAAGGGCTCTCTGATGCAGTTTACCTCCACTGGAGCTCTGAAGTCGGTTACAAACTAGTTGAATACAAAGATCAGTTTCACCCACCTGTAGAGTCCATAATGTGTAGTTGGTGTTTTTATAAGTTTATAATTGACTTGATTTTACATGTAAGTGAATTCTCAACTCAGCATCTTTTTATTTTATTTTATTTTATTTTTCCTTTCCCTAAAAGCCTTACAGCTTACCATCAATAAGGCTTCAAATTCTAGGCCTAACTCCATTTTGATAATGTCTGTTCTCTGGGCCCATCTATAAAATGAAGGGTTTAGCCAGAACTGTGTGGCTTTATGTTTTGAATTCTCATCCTAGGTATTAGAATTTAGTGTCCTCTTTGTTGACTTTTGTGTATGCACTTCTTGCTATTTCTGTTGCTTGGTTCAGCAGGAAAGAAGCTCTGGTGACGCAGTGCCTAAGGCATTTGACTACTAATAGAAGGTTGATGGTTCATATCCACCAGCCATTCTGTGGAAGGAAAATGGGGCAGTCTACTTCCGTAAAGCTTTCCCACCTCAGAAGCCCAGTGGGGGTCACTAGGAATCAGAATCGACTTGATGGCAGTGGTTTTGGTTTTTGGTTTATTGGTTTAGTGGGATGCTAGGTACCTGATCTCTTAAACAAGTCTTTTAGACTCTCTGAGCTTCACTTTTCATATCTATAATATTGGAATGATAATAATACTAATCTTGTTTTGCTGTGCGATGAAAATAGAAAATTCAGGTGAAACCCCTGCAAAGTATGTGGCACTTAGTAAGCATTTAGTGTTTGTATTGTTACTACTTGTTAAGGAGATTGAAAGCACTTTGTCTAGATATTCAATCAAGACAGCTTTTCTGGTCTCTAAACTTTGTTGTAACTTTGGGTTATTATGGCATTTCCTCATTTTGTACATCCTCCCCTCCCCCACTTTAGGGGATGGCTGCATCCTTTCAGCACTGCCACCCAGAGGACCACTGGTGAGGATTGCAACTCTGAGGACCCTCCTGATGAGCTTGGGCCCTCTCTGGCCGAACGAGCCTTAAGGCTAAAAGCTGTTAAACTGGAGAAAGAAGTCCAGGATTTAACAGTGAGTAGATTTTCTACAGGAGCCCTGGTGGTGCTGAGGTTAAGTGTTTGACTGCTACCAAAAAGTCAGGTATCTAGTAGTTTGGCAGCTTCAAGGGAAGTACGGTGCCTGGCATAGTAGGCACTCAGTACATATTTGTTGAATGAATGAGGTGATTGACCCGTGTACTCTGATGACCAGACCACATCTAGCATACTGTACCCAGTCCTGGGTTGACAGACACACTTTGAGGGAGATAAATAAACTAGAGTACAGTTGACCCTCAAAAAATGTGAGGGTTAAGGGTGCCAACCCCCTGTGGAGTTGAAAGTCCACGTATAACTTTTGGCCTCCCGAGAGCTTAAACTAATACCCTCCTGTTGACTTACCAATAACATCTCTGGTTCCTGGACTTGAACCAGTGGCCTGCCCTATTGCCTGTTGATCCTGTGATTCATCAGCCTTGGAAGCCAGCAGCAGCCTCTGTATGTACTGCTTGCTGATCCTGGGTTTGTTAGCTCCTGCAGCTGCATGAGTCACAGGAAGCCTCCAGCTTGACGTTTGACCCCCAAACTTGAAATTTGCCACCCTCTGCAGTTATGTGAGCCACTTCCTTGAGATAAATTTCTTTCTCTCTTTCTGTTTTACATATATATATATATATTTTTTGTTGTTGTTGTTGTTTGCCGTCGAGTCGGCCCCGACTCATAGCGACCCCTCCTTGGGTTTCCGAGGCAGTATCACTATGGAAGTAGGATTGCCCAACCTTCCTTCCGAGGAGTGGCTGGTGGGTTTGAACCGCCAGCCTTCTGGTGAGCAGTCAAGTGCCTTAGGCACTATGCTACCAGAGCTCCTATATATATATATATATATATATATATATATACACATACACACACACACACACACACACACATTTCACTGGTTTAGCTTCTCTAGAGAACCCAACCTAAGACAAAATGGTTCTAGAGAAACAAAATCATGTGGATAAGTTTTCTAAATTGTTCTCAAGTCTGATTAGTCATATAGGTGCTGATGACTCTGCTTCTTGTTAGAAAAGAGGGTGTTACTAATCCATGACTTGAAGTAGTGATACTTCAAGATAGCACCACCAATAGATCAAGTATAGGTGAGAAGTGAGGCTCTGGGTGATTGTATGCTTGATAATTTTCTGCAGTTTTCTCAGAATGAGAAATATAAGGAAGCTGTTGGTTGGTCCTACTTACTCTAGATAAAGTAGTGAGAGAGCAAAATGAGCTCAGCGCTTCAGAGTCACAGATTAAGCGCCACATAAAAGACCTCAAAGTTTGCTCTTGTGCCCTAAAAGAAGGCCTTATTTTTTGTAGTAACATAGCTGATACTGTTGAAAACCAAACCCAGGGTCTTAATCATAAGAGTGGCTGAATTACAATGCCAATTGAGTTGCCAGCCTCAAATCATGTCTGAAGTTTAAAGTGAGGGCATTGATTAGGAAGACATGGAATCATGAAACTTTGGATAGGAACATATGGGCAGAACTTTGAGCAGTGCATCTGGTTGTTCACTTTGATTAGAAGGAGAAATGGCCAGATGTGCAATTGTATACTGATTCATGGACTGTGGCCAGTGGTTTAGCTAGATGGTTAGGGACTTGGAAGAAACATGATTGGAAAATTGATGACAAGGATGTATGGGGAAGAGGCATGTGGATAGACTTTTGGCATGGGCTGAAAAAGTGAAGATATTTGTGTTTCATGTGAATGCTTTTACCGAAGGGTGTCCTTGGTAGAGGAGGATTTAGCAATCAAGTGGACAGGAGGACACATTCTGTGGAAACCAGTCATCTTCTTTGCCCAGCCACTCTTGTCATTCATTGCTCAGTGGGCTCATAAATAAAGTGGCCATGGTGGCAGGATTGAAGGTTATGCATGATCTCAGCAACATGAATTTCCACTCACCAAGGCCATCTTGGCTACAACCACTGCTGAGTGCCCAGTCTGCCAGCACAGGGACCAACACTTGACTCCACAGTATGGAACCATTCCTCAGGGCAATCAGGAAGAAACCCAGTGGCAGGTTGATTACATTGGACCACTTCCATGATGGAAGGGACAGCATTTTGTTCTTACTGGAATAGATATTTACTCTGGATATGGATTTGCCTTCCCTGCATGCAGTCCTTCTGCCAAAGCTACCTACTGTCTGTGGACTTGTAGAATGCTTTATCCACCATCATGGTATCCCACACAGCATCACCTCAGATCAAGGGACTCACTTCTTAGCAAATGAAATGTGGCAATGGGTGCATGCTCATGAAATTCACTGGTCTTGCTATATTCCCCATCATCCTGAAGCAGCTTGCTTGATAGAACAATGGAATGGCCTTCTAAAGATACAGTTATGGCACCAGCTAGGTGGCAATACCTTGCAGGGTTGGGGCAGTGTTCTCTAGGAGGCTGTCTGTGCTGTAAACCAGTGTCTAATAATATGGTGCTGTTCCACCAACAGCCAGTATTCATGGGTCCTGGAACCAAGGAGTGGAAAAGGAAGTGGCCACTCACTATTACTCCTGGTGACCCACTCAGAAAATGTTTGCTTCCTGCCCCTGTGACTGTATGCTCTGTGGGTCTGGAGGCCTTAGTCCCAAAGGGAGGAATGCTCCCACCTAAAGACACAATATTGATTCCATTGAACTGAAAGTTAAGAATGCCACCCAGCCATTTTGGCCTCCTCATGCCTCTGGAACAACAGGCAAAGAAGGGAGTAACTATATTGTCTGGTGTGATTGACCCTAAGTACCAAGGGGAAATTGGAATGATATTATATAATGGAGGTAAAGAAAAGTATGTCTGGAATACAGGATTTTCCTTAGGATGTCTGTTAGTGCTACCATGCCCTGTAATTAAAGTCAATGGAAAATTACAGCAGCCCAATTCTGATATGACTACTGCTGGCCCAAACCTTTCAGTAATGAAGGTTTGGGTACCCCATCAGGCAGAGAACCACGACCAACTGAGGTGCTTGCTGAAGACAAAGGGGATATGGAATGGGTTTGGTAAAAGGTAGTTCTAAATACCAGCTGTGACCACGTGACAAACTGCAGAAATGAGGATGACTATTTCTTCCTTGAATGTATGCATATTTGTTTTCTTCAGTTATAGCCCTATAAACAGGGCTAATGTATTTTTGGTTGTACACATGTTAGTTGTATCATGTTAGGCACAAGTATGACTTCACATTGACTTTTAGATTATATGTGGTTTAAGAAAATGTATACAAGTGCCAAGTTGACAAATGGTAGACTGTGATACTTGCCGTTTTGTCAACTTGGCTGGGCCATGATTTTCAGTGGTTTAGCAGTTATGATGTAGTAACCCACCGTGATGAGATCTGATATAATTTAATCACCTCCATGATAAGATTTACTATGAGCAGCCAATCATTTGATAAGGGAATTTCCCCAGGGATATGGCCTGCTTCCAATATATATATATATATGGATGTCCTGACAAAGATCTTGGGCTTTCTGTTGGATCTGGATCCTGCATCTGGCTCATTGCCATCTCTGCTTTCTGGACTTGAACCAGTGGCCTGCCCTATTGCCCGCCGATCTGGGGTTTATTGCCTTTGCAGCCTGTGAGCCAACAATCAGCCATTTTACCTGCCAGTCTTGGATTTGGCATCCTCCAAAGCTAGCAGCCTGCTATACTGCCTTCCAATCTTGGGTCCGTCAGCCTCTGCAGCTGCATAAATCAGAAGCAGCCTCCATCTTGATGTTTGACCCCCAGACTTGGGACTTGCCAGCCTCTGCAACTGCGTGAGCCACTTCCCTTGAGATAAATTTCTTTCACTCTCTCTACATATATAAGCTTCACTGGTTTTGCTTCTCTAGAGAACCCAGACTAAGATAGTAAGGTAGCATGTCCTTTTTGGGGGGCATGGAAGCTCTGTGTTGGGAACTCTTCCTGACCTCACCCTATACATTCTTCTTTATGCTGATCCTGCTTTGTATCCTTTATAGTAAACCTGAAATTGTAAAGATAGCACTTTCCATGAGTTCTGTGATTTGTTCTCAGAAATTATCAAACCAGAGGGAGAATGAATGCCAGCATATTAGATATACGGGGTGTGGCTAGGAACCTCTGAAATTATGACTGGTATCCTGAGGAGCTAGAGGAAACTCCTGAATTTATAGCCAGTTGGTCAGAAGTGAGAAAGCCTGGAGAAGGGCCAAACTTCTGGTTGACATCCTAAAGGAGTAGTAGGAAAACTCCAACTTTGCAGCCAGCAGGTCAGAAGCAAGGGGAACCCCAGGGAATCCCAAGCTTGCAGCTGATATCTTGAAAGTCTTGGGCCAACTTGGCAGACTTCAGGACAGTGTCCTTTTAACTTATGGAGCTCACCCAGCTCTGGCTGTCTAGGGTCAGAGAAAGAAGTGCTGCGTGTGCAGCTCATGTCAAAATAGAACAGAAAGTGAAAAGTGTGGATTTGTTATGTCCTCATAACCACCTATAATGGTAGGAGGAACCATAATTGAAGGAACCTGGAATTAAAAGCATGAAAGAGAAAAAGATTAAAGGGCTGAAAAAAGAAAACTGTTTTCAAATAGGTTATACACTTTTAAAACTTACTCTCAATTTTCCTCAAGTTCAGGTCAATAGCAGAAAGGTGGGGGGTGGCAGTGTTGGCGGAATGTGAAAAAGAAAGCTGCTTCCTAAGATAATGAGCTCTCTGTTGCTGAGCGTTTAAACTAGCAGGGTAAATGGCTGCCTATCAGCTGCTAAAGAATAGGTTCCTGCTGTGACTGGGTATTTGGAGTAGCTGACCTAAGATTCCTATAGTTCCTAGGTTTTTTTAATTAAAAAACCCAGCACAAAGGTGAAATGTATAAAATGAACAAAAACATTCTTGCCACCAATTAACATTTGTTACCATTTTGACTTTCTATTTGATGTTCAGGTGAGGTACCAGAGAGCTGTAGCCGACTCTGAAAACATAAGGAGGCAAACCCAGAGATGTGTAGAAGATGCCAAGATATTTGGTAAGAGAGAGATTGGTTCATATAAAAGTATTATTCAGTTTCAGGACACTTACTAGCAATTCTGCAGACTAAGAATATTAAGACCGCATCTGGGTCTTTAATGGATCCCTACCATTAAGACCAGAAGGCTGGTGGTTCAAACCCACCAGCCACTCCTTGGAAGGAAGGTTGGGCAATCCTACTTCCGTAGTGATACTGCCTCGGAAACCCAAGGAGGGGTCGCTATGAGTCGGGCCGACTCGACAGCACATAACAACAACAACAAACCATTAAGAAGCTCTGGTGGCACAGTGCCTAAGGCATTTGGCTGCTAACCAGAAAGCTGGAGGTTCAAACCCACCAGCCACTTCTCAGAAGGAAGATTGGGCAATCTACTTCCATAGTGATACTGCCTCAGCCTCAGAAACCCAGGGAGGGGTCGCTATGAGTTGAATTGACTGACGACAGTGAGTTACCCTACTCTTAAGGAGCTCTGCTGGCATGGGGGTAAGGCATCTAGCTGCTAACCAGAAGTCCAGCAGTTCAAACCTGCCAGCTGCTCTGTGGAAGAGAGATGGGGCAATCTACTTCAATAAGTATTTACCGCCTCAGAAGCCCCAGTGGGGATCGCTGTGAGTCAGAATTGATACAGTGGCAATGAATTTGTTTTGGTTTTTTTTTTCACCCTATTCTTACACTACCCTACAGGCTTTCTATGCTGCTTCTGAGGAGTGGTATCAGATGAGCCCTTTACTAAAATTGTATTGCCCTTTATTTTGACCAAACCTGACATAGTTTATTATTTTATTTTCCAAACATTTACAGTTACCACAGTTAACATTTTAGTACTTATACAAATAATTCTGTTTGACCCTTAATGAATTGTTTGACCAAATGAATTGCTAAGGTGATCAAAGAAGAATCCAAACAGCTATAGGAGCAAAATTGGTCTATAGCCATAGGGAAGTAATCAACTATATCTCCAACAGACAATTTTCACTACTATGGACAATTAGCATCACTGTCATTATTCTACAACTTACTGTAAAATAACTCAAAGAAAAAATTTAGACCCCATAACCCTGATAACCCTGAAGGATGTGCTAGGCCACATCAGTCTTTTCCATTGAAGACCTTAGATAATTGTTTTAGTCCATTTCAAAATCTCACTGCTTTTTCCGTACATGCACCACATCTTCTTCCAAAAGTGTTCATGAAAGTGTTAGTTGAATAACAAGGATTCCAGAATGAAAAGCAAATCGGTTATTACTTGTTGCATTCACAGTTTACTAGGAACATTATACTTCCTGTCACTACACATAGAATAAAAGATCTTGAGAGGTGCCCTTGGATTTTATCTAATCTGTTCCCCACTCTACAAATCAGCTGACAAAGAGTTAGTTGGTGACAGATGCAGACTTGGGTCTGTTGTCTCCTGACCTTTAATCTATTATGCTTCAACCTATATAGCACCACTTCCTGTCCTCTGGCTTTTATCTGCTATTTGTGCACAAGATTCATTTCACTCCTGTCCTATGCTTTGTCGAAACCATCTGCTCTTCTCTCAGTGCTGTGTAGTTCATTTCAAGGCTTCAGGTGTCAGCTAAGTGTTGTTAGCTACTATCTAGTCAGCCCCTGATTCATGGCAGCCCCACATATAACAGAATGAAATGCTGCCTGATCACATGCCATCCCAGTTATCTGTTATGGATCAGACTGTTGCGATCCATAGGGTTTCCATTAACTGAAGTAGGTCATCAGACTTTTCTTCCTAGTCCACCTTAGTCTGCAAACTCTGCTAAAATTTGTCCGGTGTCATACCAACATGCACTTTATCATGGACTGACACTTGATGGCTGTGCATGAAGTGCATTGGCCAGGAATCAAACCCAGGTCTCTCACATGGAAGGCAAGAATGCTACCACTGAGCCCCTACTGTCCCATGATGTGCCATAGATATCTGTAATGATAACATTACTTATCATCATTTCTCTAAGAAACTGGGAGTAATGGGATTTCTCAGAAACTGAGTTTATTTTTATCTTGTAACAGTTCGTGTGACATTTTGTGGCCCATCTCCAGCAAGTATGTATAACTTTATAGCAGGCAGTTGGAGACAAACCTCATCTGTGGATCTGTGTTTATTTACCTAGTCCTCAAGAATAAACCACTCTTAGTATTATCACCACCCTCCTCCTTGCCAAAGAGCCTTTTTTAGTTTTTTTTATTCCCTAATCATTCACCTCCTTCATGAAATACTAGTATCTAAGAAGACATTTCTCCTGCCTCACCCACTTTCAGAATGCATGCCTGAGCACAACTGAGATGGAAATTTTTAAAATGTGTATACTTTAATGCTAATGAAATAGCAAGAAAAATATAAGTATAAAGATAAGTCAAGTTTAGAAAGGCCGATTTCTGACTAATGTATAATATAGTATTACCCATTTTACTTTTTGAGTTCTGTCTTTCTCATTTCCTAGTAGAGTCTCTGGTCATATATGCCTTCTAAGGGAAACACTGGCTTGATGGTAGATTAGGGTATTAATCGATGGTGAGTCATGAGACCTGTGTGATAATCATCCTGTTTCCTGGGTTATCTAATATACTAGTTACCTATCTGGGCCTTCCCCAACCTCCACTCCCAAGGACCAAGTCAGGGATGATTTTCTCACAAATAATAATTATCTGGTTTCTCAATAGGAATCCAGAGTTTCTGTAAGGACTTGGTGGAGGTGGCAGATATTTTGGAGAAGACTACAGAATACATTTCTGGAGAAACAGAACCTGGGGACCAGAAGCTCACTCTGGAGAAGGTCTTCCGGGGCTTGTCACTTTTAGAAGCAAAGCTGAAAAGTGTGTTTGCCAAGCATGGCCTGGAGAAGATGACACCCATTGGAGACAAATATGACCCTCATGAGCACGAACTCATCTGTCATGTGCCAGCTGGTGTTGGGGTACAGCCTGGCACTGTGGCATTAGTAAAACAAGATGGCTACAAACTTCAGGGCCGCATCATTAGACTTGCCCGAGTAGAAGTGGCAGTGGAGTCCCAGAGAAGACTATGAGTAGGCCATCAAGAACTGAATATTCTTCCAGAGTGCAGTCACCTATGTTTCCGTTATTTATTAACTAGGTTTGTATTGTACATGAGGTACTTCATGTGATCTGTTTTGGATTTAGTCATATTGGCTTTATTTCTAAGCTGTTCTGTTGATTTAATGTGACCTGTTTGGTCTTATTGGAAGTCTTGCCATTGGGCGTTTGAACAATGTGACAAGTGTTCCTATGGCCTTTATCAAAATATGTTTGAGAAAATTATTTTTAAATTGGTACTTGGATGACTTTCAATCCAAAATATTTTTAAAGAGTAGAAATGAGTATGTGTTTATGTATTCTCAACTAAATGTTCCTTTTTTATGGTCCCTATAACAGGAATTGTTTAGGATCTTGTATTTTTTAGAAAAAAGAGATGATAGAGTTCAACATCGGTTCAGCATTTGAGTATTTAGATGATAAAGCTTTATCATTATATAAATTTTTAGAACTTTCCCTTTTCATTTTATTATAATCCTTTTAGCCTTCTTTGCCCTTAGTGTCCCTACCAGGTAGGCATCATATTTATACTCATTGTCATTGGAGAGGTAGGTAAGACCTCTCCAGTTCCCATTTGCAAGGGCTGAAGTCCCAGGCAACACTTGGAAAGGGAAGAACCTCAAGAAATCTGAGATACTCAGGATATCTTTCAAGCAAGGATGACCAAGAAGCCTTGTACTTTCTTTACCCTGAGTTACCATGTCATTATCTTTATTTAGCCTCTGTAGTTAAATAATCACCTAAGGAAACTGAGGCAGCCTCAAGAGCTAATGACCCAAATTGGTCTATATTGTAATTTACCTATAGTTTCTCATTCCTTTAGCCCTGAAATCTTCTATCCCTTGGTCATATTTGCCTTATGATCATTATCTTTTAGATTATTAGAGATGATGATCAGAACAAAAAGGTCATATTCCCACACTATTTCCTAATTCCATTTAGGTTTTTTCTTTAAATGGTTCTCACCAATCACTACCTCTCTTACAGCAGTGAGCTTTCTTCGTTAGTTTTTTTAAGCTGTCGTATGTCACTTGTATAAACATCTAGCTCCTCTTTTAAGTGTTAACCATCTAGAATACAAGACCTGTGTGTTGTTTATTTTTTATTCTTTCAGTCTTGCCTATAGCTGGCATTCTGTAAAAGATTTGTTCAATAAGTGAGTTTGTGAATGAATGATACATGTCAGACTTTAAAAAGGAGGTCAAGTATGGATATTTTAATGTTAGTGAAAAGAGGCCTTAGTGATTATTTAATCTTGCCCTTTTAGCTTTTTCTGAAATATGAAAGCCTTGACTTTTTAGCCCTGGATCCAAAGGGAAAAATCTCTAATGAGCTAAATTTCAGTGAGGACTTGAATAACAGACTAGATTATTAACTTCATTCCTTAAGATGCAACAGCTCTTTAATGAATACACAAATACATGCCCAGCAGACAATTAGATGTTGTTGTTGTTAGGTACTGTCGAGTTGGACACAACTCATAGCGACCCTTCCTTGGGTTTCCGAGGCAGTATCACTACAGAAGTAGATTGCCCAGCCTTCCTTCCAAGGAGTGGCTGGTGGGTTTGAACTGCCAGCCTTCTAGTTAGCAGTCAAGTGCCTTAGGTTCTGTGCTACCAGAGCTTCCAGATGTTGTTAGATACCCAAATTACACAGGCACAGAATAGAAGTGCTCCATGGGGTTTTTTGGCTATATTCTTTACTGAAGTAGATCGCCAGATTTTCCTCCCTGAAGCTGCTGGGTATGTTCATACTACCAGTTTTTCAGTTAGCAACAGAGTGCCATTTGTGGCACCAGGACTTTTTAGTTATCCATAAAATAAAGCCATCTCTACTTTTGGACCCCAATGGTCTCATTCAGTGGGATGGTAGAAGTTAATTTCTTACATATTATAGATAAGTCTAGGACACTCATAAACAAATAAGGAGCTCTGGTAGCGAAGTAGTTAAGCACTTGGCTGCTAACTGGAAGGTTCGCAGTTCAAACCCACCAGCTACTCCACAGGAGAAAACATCTGACAATCTGCACCTGTAAAGATTACAGCCTTAGGGAACCTTCTGGGGACAGTATAACTGTCATACGGGCTCAATATGAGTCAGAATCTACACAGTGGCAAACAACAAGACAGGCACATACCTGTGTTTGATTTAAAGCCACCCACCTGGCCCTACCATCTCTACCAGATATACGCTCAAAAAAAAAAACAAACCACTTTTTAAGTACAAGCAAAGAATTGGTGGTAATATTTTTTTAAATATGCATTTTATTGAAATATAATTTATGTACAGTGAAATACACAAAACTAAAGTGACATGGGTCGATGCATTTTTTTTTGCAGTGTTCCCTCCCCTCCCCTCCCACCCCAGGCAACCAACAAAGAAAGTTTCCCTCCATATATAAACCTTTCCTTGACCCTCCACAACGAACTATTACTATATTTGTCCTTCTGTGATTGACTTATTTCACTCAGCATAATGTCCTCCAGGGAGCTCTGGTAGCATAGTGCCTAAGGCACTTGACTGCTAACCAGAAGGCTGGCGGTTCAAACCCACCACCCACTCCTCAGAAGGAAGACGGGGCAATCTACTTCCATAGTGATATTGCCTCGGAAACCCAAGGAGGGATTGCTATGAGTTGGGTCCGACTTGACGGCACATAATAACAACAACGTCCTCCAAGTTCATCCATATTATGCAGTGTTTTGCATACTCTACATTATTCTTTAATGCTGTATAGCATTCCGTTATGTGTATGTGCCATAGTTTGGTCATCCCCTCTTCTGCTGATGGGCATGTAGGTTGTTTCCATCTTTTTGCTATTGTAAATAGTGCTGCAGTGAACATGAGCATGCATATATCTGTTCCTATACTGGCTCTCACCTCTCTAGGATATCTAGTAATGGAATTGCTGGGTCAAATGGTATCTCCAATTTCAGCTTTCTAAGGAATCGCCACATTGCTTTCCACAGTGGTCGTATCACTTCACAGCCCTACCAGCAGTGTGTAAGAGTCCCAATCTCTCCACATCCCCGCCAGCATTTGTGATTTTCTGTCTCATTGAACCTTGCCATCAGTGCTGGGGTGAGACGGTATCTCATTGTGTTCTTTTGATTTGCATCTCTCTGATGGCCAGTGATTGTGAGCATCTCTTCATGTATTAGCTGGCCACCTGAATAGCCTCCTTGGTGAAGTGTCTATTCATGTCTTCTGCCCTTTTTTCAATTGGATTGTTAATTCCTTTGGTGTTGAGGCATTGGAGTTTTCTATAAATCTTAGAGATAAGTCCCTTGCCAGATACGCAATTATTGGCAAATATGAATTTGTTGCCGTCACTTTTGTTATGTGCTTTTTCATGGTGTCAATTTCTTTGTTCCATATAATTTTCTATGCTGAGCTCGTTTTGTTTATAAATCATGTTATCACTTCCTTCATTGCTGCTCTTTTAGTATTTGCTGAATATTTATGCTGGTCCTCTTTTTTATTTTGATGTAAAGGTTTGTCATTTTTCTTTGAGATTACCCTGTGATTTATAGTTTTCTTCTGAAGTTCAGAACAGTCCGTTCTATCTTGTAGTTGTCTTGACATTCCTACCGTCTAGAAGTTCTGTAACAACACAGTTTTTTCCCTCATTTTGGTTTGTAGTTGTCCTCATTTGTCAATTGATGTCTCTGGTTCCCTGTTTACAATCTTGTAGGCTTATTTACTTTGGCTGGGTTGGTTTCTGGGTTATATCATCATGTGTGTTAATGGTCAGTTGTTGTTGGCTGTTGTTGCTTCTCTGTCCAAAGGGCTCCCTTTAGCATCTCTTGTAAGGTTGGTCTGGTTTTAACAAATTCCCTTAACTTCTGCTTATCTGGAAATGTCCTAATTTCACCATCATATTTGAAGGGTAGTTTTGCTGGGTACATAAATCTTGGTTGGAAATTTTTCTCTCTCTGTGTTTTATATATAGCATCCCATTGTCTTCTTGCCTGCGTGGTTTCTGTCGAGAAATACGAGCTTAGTCTTATTTGTTGCATATTGTAGGTAAGTTTTCGTTTTTCCCATGCTGCTCTCATGATTCTTTCTTTCTTTGTCTTTGGTTTTGCTGAGTATGATGATGATGTGTCTGGGTGATTTTCCTTTGGGGTCTATCCTCTTTGAGGTTCATTGGACTTTCTAAATACATATATTCTCATCTTTCATCATATCAGGGAAGTTCTCTTTAAACAAATCTTGAACAATTTTCTCAGTGGTTTTATTTTTCTCTTCCTGTTCTGGAATTCTGATTACATGTAGGTTATTCCTTTTGATGGTATCCCACATGAAACTTAGGCTTTGTTCATTTTGTTTTGAAGTTTTTTCTGATTTATCCCTTTCCAAAGAAGTGTTCAGGTATTTGCCTTCAGTTTCCCTAATTCTGTCTTCCATTGATTCAGTTCTGCTCCTTTGCCCACTCAATGTCTTATCTATTTCTGAAATTTTAGTATTAATCTTCTGGATTTCTGTGTGTAGATTTTAAATCATTTCTAATTTTTCATTTACTTTGTCATTTTGTTTTTGTATTGTCTTTCAAAATTGTTCTAGGGTTTTCTCTTTGTTTTCCTTGATCTTTCTCTCAAGTCACTGAAGACACCTAAATATAATTCTTTTTAATTCCTTTTCAGGGAATTCCAATGGTCTTCCTCAGAGATGTGTTTTGGGTCTGTATCCTGGTCCCTTGTTTCTCCTTTATCTTGCTTCTTTGTGTGGACTGTGATGCTCTGTTGTCTCCGAGGCATTGTGACATTTTTGTGTTTATATTTAATTGGTGATTGTATGTTGGCGTGACTTGCCCACAATTTCCATTTTCTTTGTTTTGTCTGTATGTATTCTACGCAAGCAGGGTACTGTGCTCCCCTGTTCGCTAGTTGACAACACTTACACACTCACCACCTGTCTCTTTTCCTGTTGTCAGCCTCTGGTATGCCCCTGCCAATCTTGGCAAACAGAGGCTATTCTTAAGTCCCTGGAATCCAAATGGGAATGCTATCACTTTAACATCCAAAATGGCCGCTGCTTGTAATTATTCAGAATGGCTGCACCCTTGGTCACTTTAAATATCCAAAATGGCCACCGCTTATAAACACCCAGAATGGTTGCTGCGTGTAAACAATCAAAATGGCTGTGCCCTCCAGACGGGAAAGTCAACAGCTCAGGTTGTCCCCCTTGTTGCTGTTTCCCTTCCTAGTCATAGGCCACCAGCACAGTCATCCCTGCAGCCCTTGGTGACCAGGGCTAATGTTTAGGTCAATTCTCAGGTCCCAACTCCAATTGGAAATATTCAGGCTGTTGGTCCCATCAGAGTAGCTGACAGTTCCGAACATCTCTGTACTCACTGTTTTTGTTCAAATTTTTCCACTAGTTGGTGCCTAATCTACTTCTGTATAGTTCCTTTCAAAGCTCAGGGCTCCAGGATTATCTTCTGTATCTCTGTCGATTGGTTTTTCTTTTCTTTGTTGAAGAGGGTCTGTGTCACTTGTCTGCCTATTCCTCCATCTTACCAGAAGTCTGGTGGTAATATTTTCAAACAAGAAACGCTTGATATTCCACTGGGTATGTATTGTACATTGAATGAGCACTCAAACAAATTTTGCAGAAGGTTTTTTCTGCCTTCATTCTTGTGAGATTAGTAGGTAATGACAAGAAAATGAGCTAAATCCATGTTTGTTCTTGGATTACTAGCTGTTCATTACTAGTGAATAAGAATTTTAAAAACTAGATATGGAATATTGATTACCTCAAGAGTTTTCTAATACTTTTTTTTTTCACCTCATGTTTTTATAAGTACATTTAGAATAATTTTAGATTCTTCTATTAGTGATTTTGCACACTTGAAATCTGGAAGATGAAGCTATAGCAGTAAGAATCTCAAGAAGCTGATGGGTTTTAGGAATGAAAAGAAGCATAATAAGAGTATATGCTTGGTAGACGTAAACTTGAACCCAAATCTCAGCTCGGTCACCTCTGTGTGACTTTGGGCACCAGTCATTTCACCCTTCTAAGGCTGTTTCCTTATCTGTAAAATGGTTATAATAATTTTCTCATGATATTGTGAGAATTAAATGAATATGTAAATTGCCTACTACAGTAGGCCCTCAGTAATTATTTATTTTGATTGTTTTTTTTATCTTACACATTATTTTTATAGCTATCTAAAGTCTAGGAAGAGGGAACACTGGTTAAGTGAAGATTAATTATTTGAAAAAAAAATTGTAAGCAAATTAATCACAATAAGGTATTTTCCTTCCAGTTTTCAGTGGGTGGTTGTTTGTTTTTAACCAAACACAGAAATCTACATTTTTAGGCTGAATGAGTAAGAAAATTTTGTCAGTGTTCTTAATTATTTTCATCTTCATGGTAAAGTGAAGACTTACTGGCATGCAGGTGATAATATAAGGAAGCTTTGGCTCATTTGAAGAGGGGATCTTAGGGTTTTAGTACTTGGACTCTATATATCTTTTACTGACATTTCCTCATAGTCGTTAAAGGAATCAGTCAGTTTGATAGGAGTAATTTGGTGCTCTTTCATGGCAAAGGATTTAATAAGGGAAGAAAGTGAAACCAAATGGGGAAAACAAAGGATGAAATACAATGTTTAAGTATAACTAATAAAACTTGAAATAACTGCAGTTCAGCTGTGTAGAGTGTCTTTGTCTGACTATTCATATTTTACACTGGCATATTAATCACTTCATTGACTGCTCACCCACCATATTGATACTCAGTAGAGGTACCCTGAAATTTCAGAGCAGGCCAGCCCTCGATATGAGAAGTGTCAGTTTGGGGGCCATGTTTTAAAACCACCACAGTGAACTTGAAAGTATGGACAGAGTCTGAATGGATAGGAATAAGAATATAGTTATTGACTAGCCCTGAGAATATGAGAAACAAAGATGAAACCCAGTGTGTACAGATAGGACTAAAACAATCATGAAAATGCAAGGCCAAACCTTAGGAAAGGCTGGCTCCATAGAGGGCCATTCAGCCAGGAGGATGGGTATATGAAAGCCAGTTGAGATACAGACAAGGCCAGGCAGTCAGAAAATGGGAAGGACACATGGAAGATGAGGGCAGAATAAGGCTACTTGACAGTAATCTGGTTGGGACAATGGTCAGGAGTTCAGAAGTACAAATACAAATTTATTCACTTTGAGTTCTGCATGTTTATTCACCTAACACTTTACCAGTAGTAATACAGTTTGGCCCTGGCAAGTTAAAACTCAGAGCAGTTAACTTAGAACCCCAGCTATAAACTTTTACTATTCTCCAAGTCCCTTCCCTTTCTTAGCCATAATCTGTCTGAATAAATGTGATTTTCCTTAGCTATCCTGAAACTCAATCCCCAACTTTTTCTGCCAGAGAATATCTGTTCCTCATAGTGTAGTAAACTAGCCACATTGAGCTGCACTTGTTTTTTTTTTTTTTTTTTTTTTTTGGGTGAAGATTTACAGAGCAAATTCACTTTCCATATAGCAGTTCACGTATACTTTGTCTCATCATTGACCACAGTTTACCACAATGCAACAGCTCCCCTCCCACTTCCTCCCCATAGTTACCTCTTCCCAGGAGCTGCACTTGTTTTCTTAGAAGATGGAAATGGAAGCTTATCCTTCCTTCTTGCCTCACTTTTGGGAAGACAGTGCATGAAACCCTAACCTTTTGGTTTTAAATAAATAGAGGCAGAGGTTAAAACTATATATGAAAACTAAATACATAAGTAACAGCAGTCTCAAAAGGTTCTGGACTTGTCTCAACATATGCATAGGGAAGCGTCTAGCCACCCTGACTGCATGTTTGTTCAGCAATTTCTGGCACTCGCTGACACTGCAGAGCGGATTCACATTCTCTTATCTCACATGGTGGTCACAAACACCTACATGGCTAGAACAATGATTGTTCTCTCCGTTTTATAAAAGAGGAAACTGAGTGAGACACGGAGAAGGAACAGTATAGAAGTCGTAGTTATCAGAGGCTGGACTTCGAACCCAGATCTTCAAAACTTCAACTCCTCTTCCATCAATCTGCAGCTGGGCCCTGGTCCTGATGCTGTGGACCTAAAGCGCGCACACCTGCGCCGGAGCTAGAACGAACCAGCCAATGAGGAACCTGCATCGAGGAGGCGGGATGAGGAAGCTGCCAATGACGAATCCTGCCCGGAGATATGTAACTAATGAGGCCCGCGTGATGAAGAGGGACAGCTGCTCATCCAATGACAGACTACGACCAGCAAGGCTGGAAGGCGGAACGACCAGAGGGGCACTGGGCAGGGCGGTGAGCTGATCGACAATCCGGGAGTGCGATCCACGGCGCGCTGACCTGGTCGCTGCCTGCCATGGCCCGCGCTGTCCCGTTCCTCGCTGTTCTGACTGCGCTTCTCGCCGCCGCTACTGCAGGCGGAGACGCCCCGCCCGGCAAAATCGGTGCAGGAAGAACGGGATGGAATTGCTGGGAGAGCTGGGCGGGAAAAGGGTTCTCAGCCAGGAGTAGCTGAGTGGGGGAAGGGAAGGGCAGCTGGACCAGGGGTTGGGTCCTCGGGAGAGGAGCTGGGTGAGCGGAGAAGAGAGGGAGGCCTAGGACCGGGGAAGAAAGGGGACGGCAGTGGGGAAGGTGCTGGTGGGAAAGAAGGCATGGGGATCTGAAGAGGGCTACCTGGGACGGAAAAGGGCTTGGGCAGGACTATCCGTAGGTCTCACAGAAAGGTCCAGAATCACTTATTGAGCATCTCCTATGGACCGATGACAGGACAGAGGCTGGGCGATGTCATTCAAAAAGGTTTCTTGAGAGCCGGCTATGTAACAGTCATAGACTGCACAGTGCGGGGAAGTTTATGCTATGGCTGACAAAGTGCCATGAATACCGAGAAAGGCGCTTTACCTCAGGCTTTGCAGGTTCGAATAGCTTCTTAGAAGTAACATATAAGTGGAATCCAAGGAGCCAGTAAGAAATATAGTCTTATCAGTGGCAGAGCCCGTGGTAGGTCTGCTGAAGAAAGATTTGCAATCTGGAAACATTTTACAGTTATCGTTTTGTTCATTATTTGGGTAGTTTTTCCAGTATTTTATTTTGAAATTTTTCAAATCTGCAGCAAAGTTGAAAGATTTTTGAAGTGTTCATCACCAAATCAATTTAGTGACTACCTGGATTCTACCATTAACAAAACTGCTATGTTTGCTTTATCACACGTCTTTCTATGAATTCGTTAATCCATCTTATGGGTTATTTTGATGTGTTGAAAAGTAAGTTGCAGACATCAGGACCCTTGACCAAATACTTCATCATGCATACCAGAAACTAGAATTCAATATTTGCCTAGAGTTTTTTCTTCCTTTAAACAACTATTATGTTAACTATGAATCCTGATGATTTTCAAGTCTCTCTCCTATAAAATTCCTATAGGCAGAGATGCTGAGCTTCTGGCTTTCTGTGCGCCCCAGTTGTGAGGAGTGTCTTGAGATATCCCACCACAGACTCATTAGGGCCAGTGCTATGCTGAGGCTTCTTGGTTACAAAACCACAGGCCAGGACATAAACAGTTAAAATAGGCTGAAGCATGCTAAAAATCAGGTGGGGATGGGTTTAGAGCTTCTGAGGAAAGGAGAAATCTGAGCACTAGAATGACCAGTGAAAACCTTATAGAGAATGCAGATTTTGAGGCAGGCTTTGAAGGATGGAAAAGAGTTATTAATAACTTGCCCACCTCTGGCAGGTAGTGTCTAGAGGCACAGGATATTACCCTCATCCCATGGGAACAGGCAACAGGGCAGAATACTTCCTGGCCGTTGGGAGAAGGCAATGGCAGGACCTTCTCCCGGCATTATTATTACTGGCAATGCGGCACTTAATGTCTGCCTCATTCTAGCTGGCCCTGCCCACTTCACTTTAACACTCATCCAAAACAGGACACTTGGCATTGGCAAGTTGCCCTTTAGCTTTCCTGATTTTCCTCAGCCCTCTGACAGGAGCCTCTGTTCACCTTTGGTGGTTTGGACTCTACCCACAACAAGAATGAGGACCTTCCTGTTAGGATGGCTTCCAACCTTGGACTCCTGCAGTATCAGGTCTGAACACCTCAGTGTGGTATCTAGACCCTTTAAATCTACCCACAGTTCCATTCCACATGCTTCCTTTGCTCATGAAGTTCTTTGTGTAGAGAATCTTGTTTCTTCTCACTGGCAAAAGCCATCCTGTCCAATCAGATGTTATTTCCTGTGAAGCCTTTGTCATCACCCCCACCCCCACCCCCAATTCTCTTAAGCAGAATAGATTGCTTCCTCTTCAGGATTCCCAGGAACTGTGCTGTTGCACTTCATCACGGGTTGTCATAGCTAATTGTGCATGGGTCTGCCCACTCCCTGCCTGAGCTCCTGGGGACCAAAGCCCTGTTTAAATCTTCTTTGTGCCCCATGATTAGAGTGGGTGTCGGTAAAGTATGTTGAATGAGCTGGTTCACAATGAGGTGACATCTCCTACCTCCAGCTTCCAAACCTTTTGATCTCATTTTCTCTAGTGCAGTGGGGAACTTGTGACTCTGATTGCAATGGAGGGGAGGGAGAGCACATCGGTGTAAATAGCTGCACAAAGTTTAAGGGGCTTCGTAAATACTGAGAGGGAGGAAGTTTATTCTTTGAGCATGCAGCAGATCCTTATTGAGCTCTACCACCCACCAGTATCTGGGGCTGCTTGCAGGAATATTCTTAAACAAACCATTTCAGGGGAGTGTGACAAGGACTAGGTGAAGGGTAAGTAGAGTATGCTACAGGAATACACAGGAGGGCCTTCTGACTCATTTCAGGTAGGTCCGGCAAGCCAAGCTAAAAAATGACATATATGGGCAGTAGAAGTCAGTCAAGCAAATGATGACAGAGGTCACTTTGGACAAAGAAAGCAGCTCACATGAAGGTACAGGGGTGAGAGAGAACATGGGCATGTAAGCCACAGTAACAGAAATAAGAGACCAATGAGAAGGTAGAGTATTGGTAAGTAGTGCAGGGGGTGAAATAAATAAATGCAGGCAGATCATAAAGAATGTGCTGTTGTCTGAGGTTTGCCTGTCACTGCTTAACAAGGAGCTGGTGGTCTCTGTGGTCTAATGTGAGCCCAGTATGACAAATCACACCAGTTTTATTCTCATTTTCTTTTTGAATAGAGCTAATAGACTTGTGGTAGGAAAGGTTGTGTGTCAAATTTGGCTGGGCCATGGTTTTGTGTGGCCGTGCAGCTGAATGTAGTTATTCCCCATGATGAGACTGGAATCACTTCCATGGTGGAATTTGCTGTGAGACGTTAATCTGTGGAAAGGAAGCTGATTTGGCAGGTGTGGCCTGCTTCAAGTATGTATGGAAGAGTTTTGAGAATGGTCTCTAGCTTTTGGTATATTTTGAATCCTGCATGTGGCTGCGTCTTCAGCTCCAGTTCCTGCACTTGAATCAGCTGCCTGCCATGTTGCCTGCCAATCCTGGGATTGTTCCTGGACTTGAACCTGGGGTCAGCTGCATTGCCTGCCCATCTTGGTATTGTGCTATTTTACCTGTCAATCTTGGGTTTGTCAGCCTCAGCAGCCAGCAACTGCATGAATCAGAAAAAAACGTCCAGCTCCAGTGGGCCTAAAATAAGAGGCAGAGCTGAAGTCCCAGGTCGAGGGCCCTTCACCCAGCCCCTAGAGCCAACACTCTGAATTGGGACTTCTAGCCTCCTAAACTGTAAGAGAATGAATTCCTGTTTGTTGAAGCCATCCACTTGTGGTATGTCTGTTATAGCCACACTGGAGAACCAAGATAAGACTATCATATGTGAGGAAAGCTCTGTCTTAGATTCTTGGTGGGCAGGAATTGTGGGCAGGGTGATAGTCCAGTTCAGTAGGCTCACAGATAGCTTTTTGTTCTCTCAAATTGCTGTTTAATGATTAGATTCTCCTAGGAGAGCCCTGTCCAGTGAGATATTCAGATCAGTGACTTGGATGAGAATATCCGTGGCATAACAACCAAGTTTTCAGATAATAGGAAGTGGGGAGGTATATAAAGACAATGAATTATAAGATCAAAAAAAGACCTTAACAAGCTGAAACTTCATGACAAGAGTCCAAACTTGAATAGACTGCCCATAAGGGAGTGAGCAACCCATCCCAGGATGTGCCCCAGCCTTGGCAAACACAGAAGTAGAAATGATTTAAGTGTCAGGTGGTAGGTTGGACTAGTGAGTGGTTGGCAAACATTTTCTGTAAAGGGCCAGATAGTATATATTTTAGGCTTTGTGGGCCATATACTTTCTGTCACAAGTGCTCCACTTTGCCTAGCTGCAAAGCATCCATAGACACTAAGTGAAAGAAAGAGCATAACTTTGTTCCAGTAAGACTTTACAAATGGCATCTGGCTGGATATGACCCATAGACTATAGTTTGCTGGCCCCTGGATTAAGGAGTGTGAGTGGCGCAAATGGTTTGCTCTCAACTGCTAACTGTAAGGTGGGTGGTTTGAACCTGCCCAGCAGCACTACAGAAGAAAGGCCTGGAGATCTGCTTCCATAAAGATCACAGCCAAGGAGACCCAGTGGAGCTCAGTTATGTTCTATTACATGGGCTTATCCTGAGTCGGAATTGACTCTGGCAATAGATTTGGTGTTTTGTTTTAGTTTTGGTGGGAAGGAGTAGTTTCCAAACACCCACCAATCAGTACTGGTCATTAACAAAATTTTCACCAATTCATAGTGAATTAAAAATAGGCACAGTGGAATACTTTTTGTATAAAATTTAAATGACCATCCTCAATTTTAAGATTCTTTCCTGCCACTAAAGTGACTATTTAAAATGAGAGTTACAGTAGGAGGCAGTTTTTAGGTTGGCCTTGTACTTTATTAATAACTTTACTAAAAACTCAGTCTGCAAATCGCCTTTTTGAAATGTCATAAGCCTGTGAAACACAAATGTCTGGAAACCACCAGGTAAGAACTAAGGTGCCGCCTGCAGTCTCTTACTCCTATGTTCTGTCTCTCCTTCCCTGCCTGGTGGGCCTGCTGACAGCCGTGGTTGGAGCTGGAATCGGAGGCTCTGCTGTGGCCCATTTCCTCCAGCAGCACTTTGGGCCCCATGTGCAGATCGACGTGTATGAGAAGGCGACCGTGGGTGGCCGCCTGGCCACCATCTCCGTCAACAAACAGCACTATGAAAGTGGGGCTGCCTCCTTCCACTCGCTGAGCCTGCACATGCAGGACTTTGTCAAGCTGCTGGGTGAGTGCACGGGCCAGGCCCCAACACCCAGATCCCTGGGCTGGTGACAGCCTCAGCCCATTCTCAGATAACCCGGATAGTCAAGGCTGGAAGGTCACATAGTCCACCCTCCTCATCTTACAGGTGGAGCATCTGAGACGAGAGAGGGGAAGGAACTTGCTTGAGGTTGCACAGTGAGTTAGTTGAAGAGCTGGGATTAGAATTGAGGTTTGATTGCAAGGCCAGTTTCTTTCCCTTTCGATTTGGTGCCTCTTGATAGCCATTACCATAATGGCTTCCATATGTCACATACTGATCAGGTACCTGACACCCTTCTACGTAGTATACAGGTATGACCTCTAATCTTCCCTACCAACCCTCAAAATGGGTGTCAACTTCTGCTAAGAAAATTTATATACCTTGGCCAAGGTCATGCAATTAGTAAGTGAGGAAGTTAGGATTCAAACCCAGGAAGCTCTTTCAAAAGCACAAATGCATATACCTTTTGATCCAGAAATTCCACTTCTCAGAAGTGGTCCTACAGATGGACTTGTGCATGTGCAAAGTGGCATACCTACCAGGTTATTCATTACGGCATTTTTTGGGGTCGCTAAAGACTGATAATATCCTACCTGCCAATGCCCTGTGAATTGGACTTAAATAAATTACAGGACACCACACAGTAGACCATTCAGCAGCCAGAATGAGGAAGCCCTTTATGTCCAGATAGAGAACAATTTCCAGGGCATAGTATATTGTTTAAGTACAGTGTTTATGGTATGTGGGGGTAGAGGGGGAAAAAATTACAGATATATACAAATTTATGAGTGTGTGCACAACATGTCTTTGGAAAGATGTTCAAGAAATGTACTTCTCGGTTGTCCCTAGGAAAGAAAACTTAGTAGCTCAGGGACAGGATTGGGAGGGAAAGAAAGGAAAACAGATCTGTCACTTGGGGCAAGTTAGATCAGCTCTAGGACTTGTTTTCCCCATCTTTAATTGGGAGTCACGATACCTGTTCTGCCTCTTCTCAGGCTGCTAGAGGACAAAGTGAGAGGTGTGAGGCCCAGTGCTCTGTGTATTGTTTAGGGCTGCATGGTTGTGTGGAACCGTGGTTATTTCCCATTTAGTCATGGTGCCCAGGGCTGCCGTCTCAGCCTGGATGTTCTGGGTTGCCACCTGAATTTCCCTTACTCACAGATGAGTGGATCATTGTTGGAAAAAAAAAATATGAATCGGAACGTTATTTTGATTTTCATTTCTGTAATGACTAGCAAAGCCAAATATTTTCCCAGTGCATTTGTGTACTGTTTGTAAACAAGCAGCTCAAATGAACCATGCAGACCATGTTTTATCTCATGTAACCAGTCCACTTGAATCCTTCAGGAGGTCCCGAGTTGCAGCTGAATGCACAGCCAGGTGTCCTGGGTGAGGAGGTGAGGGCCTTTGAAGGGGACCTGAGGGGTTTCTCCTTATCTCCTCAGGGCTGAGACACCGGCGTGAGGTGGTGGGCAGGAGCGCCATCTTTGGCGGGGAGCATTTTGTGCTGGAGGAGACCGACTGGTACCTGCTAAACCTCTTCCGCCTCTGGTGGCACTACGGCATCAGCTTCCTGAGGTTGCAGATGTGGGTGGAGGAGGTCATGGAGAAGTTTATGAGGTGAGGCTAGGCAGATCTGTGGGGAGGGTGTGTGGGAAGGTTCTAGGTTGGGAAGTGACCAGCATGACTGTAAACGGTCAAAAAGGAAAAGGTACTTGCTGGCCATGAGAGTCCAGCACAATTTTCAGTCCAAGCTTAGGGCAAGCCCTTAGCATGAGGAGTGGACTTTCTTGGTGCAGGTATTATCTCTCAAGCATTGTCCCTTTCTCTCCCTGGCATTCTCTTTCCCTCTGCTAACCTAATAAAGGGAGCTCTGGTAGCATAGTGGCTAAGACACTTGCCTGCTAACCAGACAGCTGGCGGTTCAAACCCACCAGCCACTCCTTGGAAGGAAGGTTGGGCAGTCCTACTTCCGTAGTGATACTGCCTCGGAAGCCCAAGGAGGGGTCGCTATGAGTCGGGTTTGACTCGAGGGCACATAACAACAACAACAACAACAACCTAATAAAAACATGAGTTGCAAATCCAGTTGCCCTACAAGAGCTGGGCTGGGACATTAACAAGCGAAGCAACCAGGTGGAAGAAAGCAGGGAGCAGGGGGGAACAGGGTGCCCTGAAAAGCAAGGCCCACCTGAAGGGGACAGCCAGCACTCTGCTGCAACAAACTATGGCCATGTGGGAACACCAAACTCATTGGCTAGCTTCAGTCTTTCACAAGAAACTGGAAGTCCAGATTTGTATGTGAAATCTCCCAGTTTTTCAATGTAGGCAACCCATTCCCTTTATAAGCCAAATAAGACACTTGTGTAGGCCAAATGTAGCCTGCGGGCCACCAGTTAACAGCTTTGCTGCAGGCTAGTTTTTTCACCTAGAGCCTTTTATCAATGCTTTGCTACTCCTGGGCTCCCAGCCCCCTAGCCATCTCCAGATGGCAAGGACCAGCAGCAGTGTGTTCTCACTGTGTCCACTCATTGCCAAGCTAGTCACCTCAGCTTTTTCCACACAGTCACCCCAGTTCTCATTGTTTCCTGGCTCCAGACACAGAGGCTGCCTCTCCAACCTACTCTGACTTCCTTTTCTTCAGTGTCAGACACTCAAGCATGGCCTCCAGCCTTCCTTCCCTAGGTTCTGGCACTTCTACTATAGTTTCTTCCCACTTTTTTCCCCACTGTGCTTTTTTTGGCTCTTCCTGTCTTTTCCAGATGCCCCCTAAGGTTATGCTCCTGCCCCCTTTTTCTTCTTTCTTACATTTTTCTCCTTTGTCAGTTTTATGCAGTCCTATAATGCTAGGTTCTCCCTTTCGTGGGAGATGACTTCTACCTGATGCACCCCAGTTTCCCTTTAACTTCCAGAACTACATTTTAAGTGCTTCCTGGATATCTCAACATGTTCGCAGAGCAGCTCCCAGAATAAGCAACATCCCAAAAAAGAGCCAGTCTGAACCAGCCTCTGAGGTTGGGTGAGTTGTGGAAGGGAAAGATGCAAGGCTCAGGGAGTGAGTGGAAGCCTTGTCAGATTGGAGCAGAAGAGAGGATAGATTGGGCTGGTAGAACAGGTGATGAGATTGGCATGAGGCTACTGCCATCCGGTTCCAAGTCCTAGAAGGCAAAGCAGAGCTGAAACTGCTGGAGAAGTGATGTGTCAGCCTTCTCCACTGCTTGCAGTCTCAGCTGGGCAGAGGAAGGTCTGTGGGCAGTGACCTCAGGCAGCCCATGGCACAGAAGGGTAAGGTACTTGGCATTCACCAGAGCCAGATGTGAAGCCAGGTCTAATGGGACTCAGGAGTGCCCACCCTTAACCTCTGCATGATTTCATCACAACAAGAATAGGCAAGGGGAACTGACCAGCTTCCTCTCTCTCCCCTTCACATGCAGGGGAGGTGGCAGGTCACTGGTAGGTCTCCCAGGTATGGGGACCTGATAGCGGATAGCCAGCCAAAAGGCCTTTCGGCACAAAGGCCCCAGCTCTGTGTGTCTCCCAGGATCTATAAGTACCAGGCCCATGGTTACGCCTTCTCTGGTGTGGAGGAGCTGCTCTACTCTTTGGGGGAGTCTGCTTTCGTCAACATGACCCAGCGCTCCGTGGCCGAGTCCCTGCTCCAAGTGGGTGTCACACAGCGCTTCATCGACGACGTCGTCTCTGCCGTCCTGCGGGCCAGTTACGGCCAGTCAGCAGCAATGCCTGCTTTTGCTGGTGAGCCTCCTACCCATGGCCTGCCCACCCTCAGCCTACTCATGGTGCTCACTATGGGCTGGGGTGCTGGACATCACCCCACTTGTTTGCAGCTCATTACCTAAGCACTTTAATGCCCCCACCTCATTTGGTCCTGGCATCATTTCTCTGAGGTGGACAGGAAATGGTGTTTACCCCACTTTGTGGACACTGAAAGCAAGGCTCAGATCATAGGTCCTGAGTGTTGCTGCCACTCCTGGTTGCCTGATAATCCCTTATGTGTGTGTAAGTGTTAGATGTCAGATGATACTTCACTATCCATGCTTTGGTTTCAGGAACAGCCCCTCTGAAGCCTCTGGTCCTGGTATCCATCCATTGGAGCACCTACTTTTCCCAGGTCCTTATTGGGGTGGGTGGGCAGTGTATAATGCACCATCCTCCAGCACAGGTCACACAGAGTCAAATCTGCTTTGAGCTTGGGCAAGTCTTCTGCAACAGATGGTGACTGTTCAGGACCATGAAGATATGGTAGGATCTTGCCAGCCTAAGGAACTACATGGGTACTCATTGGCCTCCTGACTGCCTCCTGGGCTGATTCCTTCTCTTCTCTCGGCCTCATAGCATGGAAAGACCCAGGCTCAATCATTGGCCTCATATCTTCTCAACTGGAAGAATAGGCAGACAAGCGACACAGACTCTCTTCAACAAAGAAAAGAAAAACTAGTTGACAGAGATACAGAAGATAATCCTGGAGGTCTGAGCTTTGAAAGGAACTATACAGAAGTGGATTAGGCACCAACTAGTGGAAAGAAAAACCTGAACAAAAACAGTGATTACAGAGACGGTTGGAACTACGGACCGTCAGCTCCTCTGACAGGACCAACAGCCTGAATATTTCCAAGTGGTGTTGGGACCTGAAAATTGACCTGAAGATCAGCCCTGGTCACCAAGGGCTGCAGGGATGACTGCACTGGTGGCCTATGACTAGTAAGGGAAACAGCAAGGAGGGAGACAACCTGAGTTGTGGACTTTCCACTGTCCGGAGGGCGCAGCCATTTTGATTGTTTACACACAGCAGCCATTTTGGATATTTAAAGTGACTGAGGGCACAGCCATTTTGAATCTTTATGAGCAGTGGCCATTTTGGATATTTAAAGTGACTGAGGATGCAGCCATTTTGAATGTTTACAAGTGGCAACCATTTTGGATTTTAAAGTGATAGCATCTTAATTCGGATTCCAGGGACCTAAGAATAGCAGAGCATAGTGCCTAAGGCACTTGACTGCTAACCAGAAGGCTGGAGGTTCAAACCCACCAGCCACTCCTCAGAAGGAAGATGAGGCAATCAGTAGTGATACTGCCTCAGAAACCCAAAGAGGGGTCTCTATGAGTCGGGTCCGACTCAAGGGCACATAACAACAACAACAAGAATAGCAGAGACATACAAGAGGCTGACAACAGGAAAGGAGACAGGTGGTGAGTGTATAAGTGCTGTCAACTAGTGAATAGAGGAGCACAACACAGTACCCTGCTTATGTAGATAACATACAAACAAAACAAAGAAAATGAAAATCGTGGGCAAGTCCCTCCAACATACAATCACCTATTAAATATAAACTCAAAAACATCACAATGCCTCAGAGACATCACAGTAAGATAAAGCAGGAGAAAGAAGGACCAAGATACAGACCCAAAACACATCCCTAAGAAAGATGCAGCATTGGAACCCCCTGATAAGGAATTCAAAATAATTATATTTAGCTATATTCAACAAAGGAGCTCTGATAGCGTGGTGCCTAAGGAACTTGACTGCCAACCAGAAGGATGGTGGTTCAAACCCACCAACCACTCCTCAGAAGGAAGGTTGGCCAATCTACTTCCATAGTGATACTGCCTCAGAAACCCAAGGAGGGGTGACTATGAGTCAGGTCCAACTCAACGGCACATAACAACAACAACAACATCTTCAACAAATTGAGAGACAGATCAAAGAAAACACAGAGAAAACCCTAGAACAATTTCAAAAGACAATACAAGAACAAAATGACAAAATAAATGAAAAAATAGAAATGATAAAAAATCTACACACAAAAATCCAGAATATTAAAACTAAATTTTCAGAAATAGAGAAGACATTGAATGGGCAAAGGAGCAGAATTGAATCAGTGGAAGACAGAATTAGTGAGATTGAAGGGAAACAACTGAACACTTCTTTGGAAAGGGATAAATCAGAAAAAAAGATCAAAACAAAATGAAGAAAGCCTAAGGTTCATGTGGGATACCATCAAAAGGAATAACCTACGTGTAATTGGAATTCAAGAATAGGAAGAGACAAAACCACAGAGAAAATTGTCAAAGATTTGTTGGAAGAGAATTTTCCTGGTATGATGAAAGATGGGAATATATTCATTCAGGAAGTCCAATGAACCCCAAACAAGATACACCCCAAAAGAAAATCACCCAGACATATCATCATCAAGCTCAGCAAAACCAAAGACCAAGAAAGAATCATGAGAGCAGCATGGGAAAAACAGAAAGTTACCTACAAGGGGCAACCAATAAGACTAAGCTCAGATTTCTCAGCAGAAACCATGCAGGTGAGAAGGCAATGGGATGGTATATATAAAACCCTGAAAGAGAAGAATTTCCAACCAAGAATTATGTACCCAGCAAAACTGTCCCTCAAATATGATGGTGAAATTAGGACATTTCCAGATAAGCAGAAATTAAGGGAATTTGTTAAAACCAGACCAACCTTACAAGAGATGCTTAAGGGAGCTCTTTGGACAGAGAACCAATAACAGCCAACAACAACTGACCATTAACACACATGATGACATAACCCAGAAACCAACCCAGCTATGCAAGTATCCAAAGTAAATAAGCCTCCAAGATTGTGAACAGGGAAGCAGAGACATCAGTTGACAAATGAAGACAACTACAAAACAAAAAGAGGGGAAAAAAACTGTCATTACAGATCTTCTAGATGGTAGGGAAGTCAAGACAACTACAAGATGGAACTGACTGTTCCAAACTTGGGAAGAAAACTATAAATCACAGGGTAACCTCAAAGAAAAATTATAAACTTTCACATCAAAATAAAAAAGAGGACCAGCACAATTATTTAGCAAATACTAAAACAATAGCAATGAAGGAAGTGATAACACGATTCATAAACAAAATGAGCTCAGCATAGAAAATTATATGGAACAAAGAAATCGACACCATGAAAAAGCACATAACAAAAGTGACAGCGAAAAATTCATATTTGCCAATAATTACATATCTGGCAAGGGACTTATCTCTAAGATTTATAGAAAACTCCAGTACCTCAACACCAAAGGAATTAACAATCCAATTGAAAAATGGGCAGAAGACGTGAATAGACACTTCACCAAGGAGTGTATTAAGGTGGCCAGCAAATACATGAAGAGATGCTCACAATCATTGACCATCATAAAGATGCAAATCAAACAACAGTGAGATACTGTCTCACCCCAGTACTGATGGCAAGGTTCAATGAGACAGAAAATCACAAATGCTGGCGGGGATGTGGAGAGAGATTGGGACTCACACACTGCTGATGGAACTGTGAAGGGATATGACCACTGTGGAAAGCAGTGTGGCGATTCCTTAGAAAGCTGGAATTGAAGATACCATTTGACCCAGCAATCCCATTACTAGGTATTTATCCTAGAGAGGTGAGCGCCAGGACAAGAACAGATATATGCATACTCATGTTCATCACAGCACTATTTACAATAGCAAAAAGATGGAAACAACATACATACCCATCAGCAGAGGAGTGGATGACCAAACTACGGTACATACACATAATGGAATGCTATGCAGCACTAAAGAATAATGTAGAGTCTGCAAAACACCACATAATATGGATGAACTTGATGGACATTATGCTGAGTGAAATAAGTCAATCACAGAAGGACAAATATAGTATTAGTTCATTGTTGTAGAGGGTCAAGGAAAGGTTTATATATGGAGGGAAACTTTCTTTGTTGGTTGCCAGGGGTGGGAGGAGAGAGGAGGGAACACTGAAAAAAAAAAAAATGCATTGACCCATGTCACTTTAGTTTTGTGTATTTCACTGTCCATAAATTATATTTCAATGAAATGCATTTAAAAAAAAAAAAAGATAAACAAGAGGACATAACCATAATAAATATCTACACACCCAAAAACAAAAAACTTTAAATTCTATCCATATAACTAAAATTCCCCACACTTCTCTCTGGAACTACAGACTCCTGTCTCATCTGCCATCCCTACATCTCCCCTGGGAGAACCAGTGGACATCCCAAACTTGGCTCATCCCAACCTAAGTATCCAACCTTTCCCCTCAGGCTTGCTCTTCCCATAGTCTCTCCCAGCTTAGTGGACAAGATCTCCTTTCTTTTCTATTGTTCCAGCGAAAACCTTGACTCATTTCCTTTCTTTTATACCCTACAAGTGGTACATCAGAAATCCCATCTGTTTTACCTTTAGCAAAGGAGCTCCAATGGGGTAGTGATTAAAGCATTCAACTACTAACCAAAAAGTGAGCACTTTGAACTAACCACCTACTCTATGCGAGAAAGATGAGGCAGTCTGCTTCCATAAAGATTTACAGCATTGGAAACCCCGTGGGATGGTTCTACTCTGTTCTACAGGGTTACTATGAGTCAGAATCAACTTGATGACAGTGGGATAAGCCACCAGCGTCCCTCACCAGAACTACACCTTCAGGCTGTTTCTCAATTCATCAGCCAAAGGATCCTGGTAAAGCACGACAGATCACATCATGCCTATACATGAAACTGTAATGGCTCTCACTTTCATTCAAGTAAAATCAAGAGTCATTCCAGTGGCCTGCAAGACCCTGCATAATCTAGTCCCCCATCACCTCTCCTGCTTGTTCACACCAGTCCAGCCCCTGTGGGTTCCTTGCTGCAAGAAGAACCACACCTGTTGATTCTGACTTGCGGTGACCCCATGTACAGTCAAACGATTGTGATCCATAGGGTTTCCATTAGCTGATTTTTGGAAGTACATCCCCAAGCCTTTCTTCCTACTCCATTTTCATCTAGAAGCTCCACTGAATCATGTTCACTATCATAGCAACATGTAAACTTCCACTGGCAGACAGGTGGTGTGGCTGCACATGGGGTGTATTGGTCTCCCACATGGCAGGTGAGAATCCTACCACTGAACCACCATTGCCCCCTCTCCCAGACATAATCACAGTGAACCTCTGTTCCTCCATCACATCTTTGCTTGGATGTCACTTTTTCACCAAGGCTGCCCTGACCACCAGTCTTAAGTTATACCCTACCCTCCTTCTGCCTCCAGTAGTTCCCAGTCCCCCTACACTGCTCATTCTTTTTCTTCCCCACAGGAGTATTCTCTTCTAGCCAACTATTTTAATTACTCATTCAAACTCCTCCCACTAGAATGTTAGCTTCATAAAGGCAGGAATCTTTGTGTCTTAAAGTGCAGTGATGTATCTCAGATGCTTAGAACAGTGTCAAGACCATACTAGGCACTCGGTTATTTTTTTTTTCAATTGTGATTTGCGTAAAAGTTTACAGAGAAATTTGGTTTTCCATGCAACAATCCATACACGTTCTTTTTTGTGATACTACAATCCCTAGTGTGACAGCATTCTTCCCACTTCCTCCTCACACCCACTTCTTCCCTTCATCCTTCTTCCCATCCCCTTCCACCTCCCTAGCTCTGTTGTTGTTGTTATGTGCCGTTGAGTTGGCCCTGACTCATAGCGACCCCTCCTTGGGTTTCCGAGGCAGTATCACTATGGAAGTAGATTGCGCAGTCTTCCTTTGGAGGAATGGCTGGTGGGTTTGAAACACCAGCCTTCTGGTTATCAGTCAAGTGCCTTAGGCACTATGCTACCAGAGCATCTATCTCTGGGTAAATGCTGCCCTCTTGATCACATGTGGTTGATTGTTGATAATCAGTGCATGTCGTTGTTGTTTGCCATCGAGTAGGACCTGACTCATAGCGACCCCTCCTTGGGTTTCTGAGGCAGTATCACTATGGAAGTAGATTGCCCAACCTTCCTTCCAAGGAGTGTCTGGTGGGTTTGAACCACCAGCCTTCTGGTTAGCAGTCAAGTGCCTTAGGCACTATGCTACCAGAGCTCCTAGTGAGTGCACACCCTTCTGGTATTACTGTCCACATTTTAGGCCTGTCTATAATGCTGAATGTTGAACCATGGGTGTTGAGTTCAGTTCCCAGCTGGAAAGGTATGTAGTGACCATAATCTCAGGGGTTCCACAAGTCTTCATATGACCAGTAATCCTAGTCTTTTTTTTTTTTTTTTAAATCATTTTGAGTTTTGTTCCACAGTTTTCTCCTATTATCCAGGACATTATATTGTGATCCCTTTCAGAGCAGTCAGCAGTGGTAGCCAGGCACCATCTAGTTCTTTTGGTCTCAGGATAATGGAAGCTGAGTTTATGTTGTCTATCAGTCCTTTGGACTAATTGTTTCTTGTGTCTTTTATTTTTTTCATTCTTCTTTGCCCTAGATGGGAAGAGACCAAGAGTTAACCTTAGATGGCCACTCACAAGCTTTTAAGACCCCAGTCACTACTCACTAGGGTAGGATATAGAACATTATCTTTGTAGACTGTTTTATGCCAATTGACCTTAGTGTCCTCCAAGACTATGGCCCTGAGCCCCCATGCCCAGCACCTCATTCCCTCAAGGTGGTTGGTTATGAGTAATAAGTTTTCATAACTTTGGCCCCTGTATGCTCTACTACATTCATAGATATATTTGCAGCACATATAAATACATAGGTAGAGATAGCTTCTGGTAGCGTAGTGCCTAAGGCACTTGACTGCTTACCAGAAGGCTGGCAGGTCAAACCCACCAGCCACTCCCCGAAGGAAGGTTGGGCAATCTACTTCCGTAGTGATAATGCCTCGAAAATCCAAGGAGGGGTCGCTATGAGTTGGGTCTGGCTTGACGGCACATAACAACAACAACAGAGATAGCTGCTATCAAACCTGTATGGGTATGAGTATGGTCCCATTTGCCTTCCTATCCCTTACTCAATAAATTTTTGTTGAATAAATGAATGAAAAACTTTGTATTTAACAAGCTTCTCCCATATGCCCAGGACACCATTCCCCTTGCTCCTGGCATGGTTGGCTCCTCCCATCCTTCATGTACTACCTCAGGATCCCCTCAGCAGGGCTTTCCTGGTCACTCTTCCAGTGTATTGTGTGTTTCCATCATAGCATTTCTTTTATGACAGCTTTACTGAGATTAAGTCACATACCATACAATTTACCATTTGAAGTGTACGATTTATTGGTTTTTAGTATGTTCATAGTTATATAACCATCACTACAGTCAATTTTAGAACATTTTTGTCACCTCATAAAGAAACTCCATACCCTTTAGCCATCACCCTCAAACCTCCCAGCCCTCCAGTCCTAGGCAACTACTATCTGTCTCTGTGGATATGGCTATTCTGGATGTTGTTGTTGTTATGTGCCATTGAGTCGGACCTGACTCATAGTGACCCCTCCTTGGGTTTCCAAGGCAGTATCACTACAGAGGTAGATTGCCCAACCTTCCTTCTGAGGAGTGGCTGGTGGGTTTGAACCTCCAGCCTTCTGGTTAGCAGTCAAGTGCCTTAGGTACTGCACTACCAGAGCTCCCAGTAAATGGAACCATATGGTATGTGGTCTTTTGTGGCAGGCTTCTTTCACTTAGCATAATGCTTTCACTTCATAGCATTTTAATTTAATTTTATTTATCTGTTTGTTACCTCCCTCTGCCTGTGGTTGGGAGGAGCCTTTCCCTGGAGGTGGGATCCAGGTAAGATGGTACTGGGTTTTCTATTCCTACCATTTCATGGTTCTGAGAACATACTGATCACCCTCCTCTCTTTACCCAGGAGCCATGTCACTAGCCGGGGCCCAAGGCAACCTGTGGTCTGTGGAAGGAGGTAACAAGCTGGTTTGTTCTGGTTTGCTGAGGCTCACCAAGGCCAATGTGATCCACGCCACTGTGACCTCTGTGACCCTGCATAATACAGGTGAGTGGACAGACAGGGGCCATGTCCATTCCATTCCTAGACAGTCCACACTTCTGCAGCTTCTGTACCTGAACCCTGTTTGTGCTCTGTTAGAGAATGTTTAGGGAAAAGAAAGAAAAAAAAAGAAAAGCACCCAGAAGCCCCAGCACTGAGTGACAGCAGAGGGCACTGTTGTCCCTATTCAAATGTAAGAGCCAGAGAGCTGAAACTTCATTAATCTAGGACTATCCATTTTACCAGGAGCTTTGGTAGCATAGTGGCTAAAGCACTTGATTGCTAACCAGAAGGCTGGCGGTTCAAACCCACCAGCCACTCCTTGGAAGGAAGGTTGGGCAATCCTACTTACGTAGTGATACTGCCTCAGAAACCCAAGGAGGGGTCACTATGAGTCAGGGCCAACTCGACGGCACATAACAACAACAACAATCCATTTTACCAGTGAGAACTTTGAGTGCCAGCTTTGGCCCAGCTAGTCAGAGCAGAACCAGAGTAAAAATTAGGTCTTCTGACTCTAGTCTAGTGCTTTCCCTGGCAGCTGTACCAGCATGGGAAAATTGGAACTACCTTCTGGAGCAAGCTGCACCCTTTCTACCAGGGTACCCTGGCATCGTACCTTCAATGGTAGGCTCCTGATTAAAAAAAAAAAAAAAACGAACTCACTGCCATCGAGTCGGATCTGATTCGTAGCGACCCCCCCTTGGATTTCCAAAGTGTATCACTACGGAAGTAGACTGCCCAATCTTCCATCCAAAGAGTGGCTAGTGGGTATGAACCACCAGCCTTCTGGTTAGCAGTCAAATGTCTTAGACACTACACCACCAGAGCTCCCAGGCTCCTGATAGAGATCAGCAAATAGAAGCCAAGAAGTAAGTTGACTTATGTGTTCTCTTCTCTCTCCTTCCAGAAGGGAAAGCCCTGTACCAGGTAGGCTATGAGAATGAGGGGGGCCACGGCTCCAACTTCTATGACATAGTGGTCATTGCCGCTCCCTTGCACTTGGACAACAGCAGCAGCAATGTCACCTTTGAAGGCTTCAGCCCGCCTATTGATGATATCCAGGGCTCTTTTCAGCCCACCGTTGTCTCCTTGGTCCATGGCTACCTCAACTCTTCCTACTTTGGCTTTCCCGACCCTAAACTTTTCCCCTTTGCCAGCATCCTTACCACAGATTTCCCTAACTTCTTCTGTGCTCTGGACAACATCTGTCCTGTCAACATCTCAGCCAATTTCCGGCGAAAGCAGCCTCAGGAGGCTGCCGTCTGGAGAGTCCAATCTCCCAAGCCCCTCTTTCGGACCCAGCTGAAGACCCTGTTCCGTTCCTATTATTCAGTCCAGACTGCCGAGTGGCAGGCACACCCCCTCTATGGCTCCCGCAGCACCATCCCTCGGTTTGCACTCCATGACCAGCTCTTCTACCTCAATGCCCTAGAGTGGGCAGCCAGTTCTGTGGAGGTGATGGCCGTAGCTGCTAAGAACGTGGCCCTGCTGGCTTATAATCGCTGGTACCAGGACCTAGACAAGATTGACCAAAAGGATCTGATGCACAAGGTGAAGACTGAACTGTGAAGCCTCCAAGGAGTGCCTGGGAATGTCCATTCCCCACTGAAGATAGTTCCTACCATACAGCAGCCCAGGATTGGAACAGGCTGCACTCACTCACCTGCCCTGCTGAGCCTCTTTCTGATGCCTCATGTGTCGAACATCTTCCCCTCCAGTGTGGGGCCAGGTGGCCTGCTGTCTGCCTAGCTATCTTAAGAATCCTTACAGTGGTTGCTTCTTTAAGGGGAAGAGTAGAGAGGAGGAGAAAAGCTAAGCTGGTGTATTCATTTTATTTATTTTTTTTTAATATAAAAGAAATAAAAATCCATCTTCCCAAACTGTTTCTGCCTTGGTTTTCTGCCTAGGAGAGAGGAAAGAGTATGGGGGGGAATACAAGGCAGATTTTTTAGTGCAATTTCTTTACTGTTTTTCAGGTGGTAGTGGTGGTAGTTGCTGTTCAGTCAGTGCCAATTCATAGTGAACCCATGTGTGCAGAGTAGAACTGTTCCATAGGGTTTTCAAATCTGTGACTTGTGCAGAATCAAATCAATCACCAGTCCTGTGTTCTGAGGTACAGATGAGTGGGTTCAAACTGCCAACCTTTCAGAATACCATTTTTCACTTAACTACTCCCAAAATGAATTTGAGTCAGCCAACAATGAAACATTTATGACCTTATAGTTACAAATAAAGCAGAAAAGAAGATCAGGAAATATAAGATAGGGTGATGATTAATGTTATGTGTCAACTTGATTAGGTTATGATTCTCCGTGGTTTGGCAGACATTGGACTGATTGCTTTTCCATAATGTAACATAATGTAATCACCTCCATGATGTGATCAGCCAATCAGTTGCAAGAGAAGTTTCCTTGGGGGTTGTAGCCTACATCCAATGTATAGGGACTTTCTGGCAAAGCTCACTAGATTGCTCTCAGGATCCTGCATCCAATTTACCATCTGACCTCTAGTTCTTGGGACTTGAGCCAGCAGCCTGCCACCTGATCTGCAGATTTAGAGATTCACCAGCTCCTGAAGCCCAGTGAGCCAGCAGCCTGCTGTGTGACCTGCCAATTTTGGGATTCCATAGCTCCTATAATAACCATGTGAGTCAGGAGAAACATCTAGCCTTATGCCTAACCTTTGAATTTGGGACTTAACCGGCCTCCACAACTTCATGAGCCATTTCCTTGAATTAAATCTCTCTCTCTCTCTCTCTCTCTCTCTCTCTCTCTCTCTCTCTCTCTGTATATATATACACACATATACATATGTATGTATGCATGTGTGTGTGTGTGTGTGTTTTACAGGTTTTGCTCCTGTAGAGAACCTGGCGTAAGAGTATCTCCTATTGGCTGTCAGCTTGCTACATGTGAGGCATCCACTTAAGAACTTACTAGACACCATCTCCAAGCCTCTCCATGATACCACATATTGAGGGAGATGACTGAGAACCTAAGGAAGGGATGTTTACCCCAGCAGAGGCTTTAGTGTAACTCTGAGCCTGGCAACAAGTGGGGAAAGAGAATCACCCCAGGTCACAGGAAGAGGGAAGCTTCTTTGACACCTGGAGAAATTGGCCATGCCATTCCCTATGCAAGGGTGGAGGAATTAGTTATTGTGTGGGTCTGTCTTGCAAGAAGAGAGTTCCCAGATTGCGGAGAGCACCTCACCCCCAAACATTCACCCTAGGAGAGAAAAGGATGAAAAGGTGTTGGGATGGAGTTCAGAGGTTAACCTGGTGCTTTCTCTGACACTAGTTTGAAAGGGAAGGAAAGTTATGCTTTGCTTTATTTTATTTCTAGAAAACTTTAAAGATGAGCAGTTTTGGAAAATGAAGTAAGAATCTTTTTCATTCTTTTTGGACCTGTTCCTTTCTGTAAAGGAAGATAATGGAAGGACTGAGGACAGAGCACTCAGCAAGTATGGATGAACCACCGCCTCAGAACCTCCTGGAGAAATAAGGGGGTCGTGTTTAGATAAAGATGCAGATTCCCAAGTCTCACCCACTACCACCTGTTGCTATCAAGTCAATTCCAACTCATAGGGACCCTACAGGACAGAGTAGAACTTCCCCATAGAGTTTCCAAGGCTGTAAATCTTTACAGAAGCATCCTGCTATATCTTTCTCCTAAGGAGCTGCTGGTGAGTTTGAACTGCCATCGTTTTGGTTAGCAGCCAAATGCTTAACCACTGTGCCACCAGGGCTCCTTCAAGTTCCACCTAGACCTGCTAAATCAGGCTCAGGAGGAGAGGCTTGGGAGGAAAGAAAACTGTCAAATGACCCTAATTCAGCTTTTCTAACAGGAGCAGATCCCAGAGCTTATCCAGCTGATTTCCCTCTGCAGATATAGACATAAAAGCCCAAAGTGAGGAAATAACTTGCCCAAGATCTTCTGGTGAGTTCATAGATCAGAGCTCAAATCTGGAGCTCCTGATTCTCCTTAAGATTAATGAGTTGAATTTACCTAAGGTAGATATACTCCTTGGAGAGAAAAATCATGGGAAAAAGAATGTATAGGGAGACAGCTCAGGGGGCAGGAGTGTATGGAGGGATGGACACAGGGAAGAGGTAACTATCGGGAGGAAGTGGGAGGGGAGCTGTTGCATTGGGGTAAATTGTAGTCAAACTCATGAGACAAAGTATATGTGAACTGCTGTATGAAAAGTGAATTTGCTCTGTAAATTTCCACCCAAATCACAATAAAAAAAAATAAAGATTAATGAATTCAGCATGGAGCAAAATGCCCTTCATGTAGGTGGAAGCCCAAACTGTCACAGAAATCATTTTCATTCCACCAAGGTGCTTTTAATGTGTGATTAGCATTCGCTTGTTAAAGTAGTAGAAAATCTAATTCAAGTTGGTATAAGCAATGAGAAGTTTTTATTGGTTATCATAATTTAAAGTCCAACCATAGGGTAAGCATCCAAGCACTGTGCAATCTCTAGCCCCATTACTTCTCTCTTGGTCAAAGATGGCTGCCGATAGCTCCCAGTGTGGGAGAATTTTCTCCCACAACTACTGAACCACTGAGCTCTGGATCAATTGAGCCACTTATTATTATTATTATTATTATTACTATGATTTAAGTGAAAGTTTACAGAACAGATTCATTTTTTATTCAATAGTTGATATACATTTTGCTTCTTGACATTGTCTACATGCCTCACAATGTAACAACTCCCTTCCCACTTCTTCCCAATGGTTACCTTTTTCCTGTGTCCTTTTCTATACATTCCTGCCATCCGAGCAAGCTTCCTGTAAAAATGCTGCCTTTCTGATCTCTCTGATTGATTGTTCTCAGGAGTGTACCTAGCTGGTGTAATTATTTACCTTGTAGGCCTGTTGGTTGTTAGGCTGCAAGCTACAGGAGTCAGCTCAATTTCAGGTCCAAAGGGTGACTAAGGGCCATGGTCTCAGGTGTTTCTGCAGTCTCTGTCAGGCCAGTGAGCCTGGCCTTTCTTATGATTTTGAGTTTTGTTCTACATTTTCTCCCACTCTATCCAGGATCTCTAATTTTGATCCCTTTCTGAGTGGTTGACATTGTTAGCCAGGCACCATCTAGTTCTTCTGGCCTCAGGGTCATGTAGACTGAGGTTCCCATCATCCCCAGTCCTTTGGACTAATTGTTTCCATGTGTCCTTGCTTTTCTTCACTCTTGTTTGCTCCAGATGATGAGAGACCAGTTGTTGCATCTTAGATGGCCACTCACAAGCTTTTAAGACACGGCCACTACTCACCAAAGGAGAATGTGACACGTTTGTGTGTTGTATGTTATGCCAATTGAGCTTGATATACCCCATGACCATGGTCCCAAGCCACGGGCCCAATTGAGCCACTCTTGAACCAATTCCTGTGGCCGGGAGAATGGCACATGTCTAGTAGCTTATGTCTTAGATTCTGAACCAATCACTGTGGCAAGAAGGATGAGATTACAATGATTGACTTAGAAGAGCCAAGTCCCACTCCCCAGAGCAGAATTAGTTTCATCTAAACTACAAGGTACAAAACACTTCTTAAAAGTATTACAGAGCAAAGATGTCACTTTGAAGGCTAAGTTGCACCTGACCCAAGCCATGGTATTTTCAATAGCCTCATAGGCTTGTGAAAGCTGGACAGTGAATAAGGAAGATCACAGAAGAATTGATACTTTTGAATTGTGGTGTTGGCGAAGAATACTGCCAGAAGAACAAAAAAATCTGTCCCAGAAGAAGTGCAGCTGGAATGCTTCTTGGAAGCAAGAATGGCCACCTACTTTGGTCATGTTGTCAGAAGTGAACAGTCCCTGGAGAAGGATATCATGATTGGTATAGGGTCAGCGAAAAAGGATAAGATCATCTATGAGATGGACTACAAAATGGCTGCAACGATAGGCTCAAGTACAGCAAGGATTGTGAGGATAGCACAGGACCAGGCAGTATTTTGTTCTGTTGTACATAGGGTCACTATGAGTGTAAATCAACTTGGCAGCATCTAACAACAACAACAACTACAAGGTTGGAGGGGTGGGAAAGGAATGGAAGGAAGAGCCACACTGTCAACCTCAGAAAGGATAAGGCTATTTCCTCCTTACTCCCCCCAAGTCCAGTGAAATCAAAGTGTGTAGTAGTATCCTTTGATGGTTTGAGTTTGAAATGAAGATGGCATGGACTTTCATGGTGCAATTGATGATATTGGGCCAGAGGACAGTGGACAATACAAAACTCATCCTAGATAATCACCCCTTCCTTCAGACCCTAAAAAGGATTTGTGCTTAGAAGATGCAAATAATTGGCTATGCTTGATCCTCAATCTTCAGCTAGGCTTTGGCCCCAGGCCCAGCATGACTGTGCTACACCTGTCTGTATCCTTCAGATACCTCCACTGCCTAGGTGGGGAGACCTAAACAGCTCGGAACCAAAGCCAGCCAAAATGCCCATGCCACGTGCTTCCCCAAGTCCAACCCTGAGAGTTGGTTCTTACCACCTCTTTGCTCACAAAGATTCCTGAAGGCAGCAGAATGGAACAGGGGACCCAGCAGGAGCATTTG